TATGAATTTTTCAGTTCGACGAGCAGAAAAACACAACTCCGCACACGAATGAGGATCCGTTCTGGGCGGCTTTCGAGAAATCTCTCAATGCCGAGTGAGTCCTTCGCTCACATCTCTGTTTCATCGGAAGAATATATAGCAAACTAAAAAAAAACACTGATGTTAAAACTATTCCGTATGAATATTTTCAAAATGTAAAGTTGATGTTTCTGAATTTTTTTTAACTTTTTTTAAATAAAAAAAGGCAAAATTTGATAAAGAATAATTTCAGAGGCTGCAAATTCAAACGGGAGATTTTCATCGGCGCCACTGACTCGCGATTCATCAGAGCGGTGATTTTTTTCGAAATTTTTTTCGAGATTTTTTTTAGTAATTGAGTAGAAGAAATAAGTAATATAGAGCCTTCAAAAAAATAAATTTGCTTACTAAATTGAATTAAAAATTTATTTTTTTGAATTTGTCGATATTAAAATAATGTGGAACCGAAAAAAGAGTCTCTTGAGATTTTACGAAAATAAAGCTATGAAAAAGTTAAGCAGACCGAAATTCAGCTTCAAGGTAATTTCGGCGATTTCAAAAATCTTTTTTTTTTGAAATGATTTCGCGAAAGAGACAGAATTAGAACTCGGGGGCCTTATAACAAGAAAAAGGGTCCCACAACGATATGATCCCCAAATAAATTGAAAAATTCAAATCTGCGCTTAAAAATCACCGTGTAGAGTTACATATCGTGGTCGTAGTAGAACCCCTTTTACGGCTTCCGGATTTCTAATTTCGCCTAATTTGCGCATTCTGAACAAATGACGAGTCAATTTTCAAATCGCAGAAATCACTCTGAACACGTCATCAGGAAGAAAAAACCAAACAAAATATTAAAAAAACAAAAAATTCAGAAAAAAGTTAAGCAGACCAAAATTCAGCTTTCAAAAACGTCAAGCAGACCAAAATTCATTCCTCAAAAAGTTAAGCAGACCAAAATTCATTCACCTAAAAGTTAAGCAGACCAAAATTCATTCACCTAAAAGTTAAGCAGACCAAAATGCAGATCTCAAAAAGTTAAGCAGACCAAAATGCAGCTCTCAAAAAGTTAAGCAGACTAAAATTCATTCCCCAAAAAGTTAAGCAGACCAAAATGCAGCTTTCAAAAACGTCAAGCAGACCAAATTGCAGCTCTCAAAAAGTTAAGCAGACCAAAATTCATTCTCCAATAGTTAAGCAGACCAAAATGCAGCTTTCAAAAACGTCAAGCAGACCAAATTGCAGCTCTCAAAAAGTTAAGCAGACCAAAATTCATTCTCCATTAGTTAAGCAGACCAAAATTAATTCTCCAAAAAGTTAAGCAGACCAAAATGCAGCTTTCAAAAACGTCAAGCAGACCAAATTGCAGCTCTCAAAAAGTTAAGCAGACCAAAATTCATTCTCCAATAGTTAAGCAGACCAAAATGCAGCTTTCAAAAACGTCAAGCAGACCAAATTGCAGCTCTCAAAAAGTTAAGCAGACCAAAATTCATTCTCCATTAGTTAAGCAGACCAAAATTAATTCTCCAAAAAGTTAAGCAGACCAAAATTTATTCACCAAAAACTCAGGAAGTCCAAAATCAGTGATCGCCGAAAATCATTTCAGCTTCTCGAGTAAACCAATAAATCAATACAAAATTAAGATGGGAATCCGATCGATCGGCTTCTCGCCAATGATCAACACGCCGTCGCTGCTCCACGACCACAACGAGTACCTCAACGAGAACGTCTTCCTTCGGGGCGTCGAAATTTATCAAACTCTCATCGATAACATCGCCAATGTCCCTGATTTCTAATTTATTCGCCTTGCTTCACTTATTTTTCGCCTTGTAAATATTTTTTTTTATTGCCAGGGGTTTTTTTTCAATGCTGCTGGTGATGATTTTTTAGTGATTTTTTGGTGAAATGAACTGGTTTTTATTTATGTTGGTCCGATTTTCATGGGAAATAAAATTCAGGGGCTGTCGGAAGTGAGAGTAGAATTTTTTCGAGTCATGAGGCTGAAAAAGCAGAAATTTGAGGCTCAGCGCCCGACCAGAAACGGCTTGCGCACAAGGGCATCGGAAAGCATTGGATCAGGCGGTAGTCATCATTCCAACCCCAGTGCAACCCCGACGTTACTACGTGCAATTTTTTTTAAATCGTCCGAATTTCCAAATCGTCCAAATTGATTTCTAATCATTAGAAATTACAAGCTTGCAATATTATCAGTACCTCCAACAACCGGCTTAAAAACGATTATGATAGTTCTAAGCCCTCCCCGATAGTTTTCTCACCTTCGCGGCAATCTTTTTTCCGCTTTTTTCTTTCTTTTTTTGAAAAAATGTTCAAAATTGAGGATTTTTACTCACTTGGCAAGATGAAAACCGCGCTTCTGCTCCTGTTTCTGGCGGCGCCTTTGATGTCCTACAGTATCCCAAGTTTGTAGTTTTCAAAAAAAAGAAAAGAAAAAAATCATTTTGAAGAAGCTGGAGATGCAGCTTCATCCTCGACTGCAGGTGGGTTGATTTTTTTCTGAAAATTTTTCGCCTTTTCAGTACCCTCAGGTCCTCCAGCTCCAGCAGTGACGTCACCAGGTCTCTTTCAGGCTCCTATACTCAGAATAAATCATTTTCAGCGACTTCGATCAAGCCTGTGACGTCACCAGGTAATCCTGTTCCCGAAACTTTTGAAATGGACAAATTTCCAGCGCCTTCTTCATCGACCAAGCCAGTGACGTCATCCGTAGCTCCAGTGACGTCACCAGGTTTTCATTTTCTGGTTTGAGAATCGAAAAAGAGATTTTCAGCAGCTTCGACACTTCAGCCAGTGACGTCACCAAGTCCTGCAGCTCCGAGCTCATCTGCAGCTCCAGTGACGTCATCAGCGGCTCCTATGACGTCACCAAAAAATCCGACTTCTTCCTCGCCTCAAGTGATGTCATCAGCGGCTCCTCCTAGCTCTTCTGCTCAGCCAGTGACGTCGTCTATGTCTCCTGTGACGTCATCGAAAAATCCGGCCTCTTCTTCACAACCTCCCGTAACACCCGAACCTCCAACTAGAATCCCACATCCGTCGAAGTCGACTCAAGTGACGTCATCGGTGGCTCCTCCTAGCTCTTCTGCTCAGCCAGCGACGTCTCCCGCAACTCCAGAGCCTCCAACGAGAATTCCCCATCCTTCGAAGTCCACTTCAGGAGCTCCAGGGTCATCAACGACGGAACTCAAGACTCCGGAACCTCCAACCAGGATTCCTCATCCTTCCAAGTCCACTTCAGGAGCTCCAGGGTCATCAACGACGGAACTCAAGACTCCGGAACCTCCAACCAGGATTCCTCATCCTTCCAAGTCCACTTCAGGAGCTCCAGGGTCATCAACGACGGATCTCAAGACTCCGGAACCTCCAACCAGGATTCCTCATCCTTCAAAGTCTACCGTAAGCTCTACAGTACCTGCCAGCTCATCACCAGTATCAACTAAAGCCTCCGGAAGCTCTACAGTATCCTCAGGCTCTACAGTACCCCAGAAATCTACTGTAGCACCCGGCAGCCCCTCCCCGAATCCCTCAACCTCAAAAATTCAAACCACTACCCAAGGCGCCAATTCGATCCCAACCTTCTTTGCCGCTATTTTATTGATTATCAACCTGTTTTTCTGAAAAGATAGGTATTTTTAGTTGTATTTTCTCCTTTGAAAGTCCTTTTCGTCATTGTTTATATTTTTTCCAGTGATAAAAATAGCAAATTCCTTGTTGATTTGAACGTTCAAAGTTGAATTGGAGATGAAAAAGTGTTTGATTTGTGAAGAGAGATGTTTGGAAAAAGAATGTTTACTGATAAAAATGGTTTCAGATCGATAAAGTGAAGATTTTGAACGGATTTGAAGAAAAAGGTTGAGATTTTGGGCAAAAAATTTGCATAAATTTGTCGAAAAATGTGTTTTGAATGGTAGCCTTTCTACGTAAAATGAAGTGAAAGATAGGAATTTTCGAACTTTTTTTCAAGATTTGGAGCAATTTTTTTGAAGTCAAATCGTCTCATTTTCAAGTTTCAAGGTACCTTTTCAGGCGTTTAAAGTGATTGTTTTTTTCAATAAAAAGGAATAATTTATACTAAAATAAAAAAAGAAAAAAAGAAAAATGAGTGGTTTTTGAAAAATGTTGGAAGATTAATTAGTACCACCCCCTCAAAAAGGAAGCAAAAAAATGCAGAAAACCACAAAAAAACCATCCTTCTCCTCAGTGTAAACTATGCAAGCCACGACCAATCAACTTCGCCTTTTTTTCGTTCTCATGACCTTATTTTTCTCGTTTTGTGTGACTTTTGAAGAAATATGGCGTTTAAAGGTCTCATAAACAAGGCGAAGGAAGAACGGTAGGGCGTGACGTCAGACCTTGACGTACTCTAGCCCCCCGCCTTCCATGGACAAAGAGACTATAAATAGGGATGGTTTTGGCTGGAGATCCACAGCCTTTTTTCTGGTTTTCGAGCTTCTGGTCGTTTTTTTTTCGGCTATTTTGATCTTTTTCAGATTATAGTAGTACTCTTGGAGCTTCCTAAAACCCCTAAAAAGATCATTTTGGAAAAAAAATCCACGAAAAATGGCTCCAATCTCTCTTATCGCCTACATCCTTTGCCTCATCCTTGTCATTTCCGGTGAGTTTTTTTTAATTTTTTAGCTCCTGATGATAAAATTCAGAAGTCTCATCACTAACCATGTACAATTTGTACGATCGGATGCTGGAAAAGGACAGGTCAACTCGGAATTCGAAGTTTAACAGTTACGCTCATCCAGTCGCGTTCAAGGGCGATGAAGTGGTGAGACTTGAAATTTTCAATTTTGAAGTGAAAATTTTGAAAAAACTTGCAAAAATCAAGAGGAGAGGCACGCAAAAATGGGCGTGGTTTGGGAAGCAAAGGATGCGCAGTTTCTTTCGGTCGAACACTTATAGGGCTCTAATTTAAAGAGGAAGGCAGCCATTCATCATAAAAATCTGGAAGAACAGCTAGAGCTTTTTTAATTTGTGAGGCACGAAAAAGTGTGCGTGGCTTTTGATGCAAGCCGTGCGCATTTCATCTCAAGAAAGCCTTCAATTCTTGCCCAGAGGTACTTGGTGTCCACAGAAGTGATGAAGCTCTTTTTTACGCTAATGAATTGATTTTTGAAGTGAAAAGTTTGAAAAAGCTTGAAAAATCGATCAATCAAGAAGAGAGGCACGCAGAAAGGGGCGTGGTTTGAGAAGCAAGGGATGCACAGTTTCTATTAATCGTTTTCAATACTTATAGGGCTCGGAATTGCAGATAGGGGCAGACGGGGAAGTCTGGAAGAATGGCTTAAACTTTTTAAACATCTGAGGCACAAAAAAGTGGGCGTGTCTTCTGATGCAACCCGTGCGCATTTTTTAAAAAAGACCTTTGAGTTCAGAATAGAGCTGTAATAAAGATTTTTTAGCGCTCCCATGAACATGAGATTTTTTTTAAACAAGTGAGGCACACAAAAAGGGGCGGAGCCTAAGAGCAAATTAGGCACAGTTTATCTTACAAAAAATCATCTTGAATATTTGAAATTTAGCTCAAAACTTTCAGATCATCCCCAGAAGGTTTCAAAGCTACGACAAGGTTGACGACGTGATGCTCGACGAGAATGGCATGGCTTTCGCTCTCCGAAGACGGCCATCGATCGGAATGATCCTTTCCGGAATGCGGGGACCTCACAGCGGGTTTCTCCACGGCGATCTCACCTACAGAAGATAATAATTGTATTTCATCATAATTTTTTCTCTTGATGCTTTAGCGATTTGATCTCATTTGTGATGTGAACATGTATGTACAGAAAAGAGCTTTGAAATGAAATTTTTTTGATAAATGAAGACATATGTTATTTGTTGCTTCTAGTATAGCACTATAAGCTTCACTAAAGTTCACGAAAAAGCGGATTTTCTCAGTTACTGAAGACTTGAAAAAGACTGATTTCCCTTGACGACGGTCCATTTAGAAACCCCGTAGTGGTCCCTTAAGAGCCAAACTTGAGGGCATTCAAAAATTCCCTTCAGGGACCACTTCACCTCCCCTTATAGGGACGCTAAAGCTTGCAAAGTGGTCACTCTAGGGGATCTAATATCAACAGAGAATAAATCGATCAATTTTCATTAAATAGGCCTTTATAATTTTCCACTAGCACCCCTATAGGGACCCCTTGAGCTTCTAAGGGTCCTATTGGAAAATTCTAAGGGAGGGGGGCCTAGGGGTCAGCATCAAATCCCTCTAGGGACCACCTACATTTTAGCCTTTTTTGATCGCTATGGGCTGCTTTTTCTACTGACCCCTATAGGGACCCCTTTAAGCTCTCAGTGGAAAAAAGCTACGGGGGGGGCTACGGGTCAGAGCGCAAACCTCTCTAGAAACCACCTACATTTTACCCTGATATGGAGTAATTTTTCGATCCCAAAAGGCTGCTTTTTCTCCTGACCCCTAGAGAGAACATTTAAGCTTACAAGGGCTGTGTGCGCGGTGAACATCGAGTTGGGAATTGAGGCTTATATGGTAGATGGACCTAGGGGAGAGTGCTCCAAAACGAAAGAGAAAATCTGCTAAGCGCCATAGGGTACCGAGAAAAAGCTCGTCAAAGTTTTGCCGCCACGTATATCCCCGCGCTCGGAGTGCTGAGCCAGCAACTGGGAGCGTGGTGAAGTGGCAGTGCTCTTAAATGGCGCTGACGCTATGCTAGGTTCGATTCCTTTTGACGTCAAACTTTTTTTTTGCCTTGTTTTATTCAATTCTTCTACACTCTATCATCAAACAAAAACAGCAAAAAAAAGTTTGAATTGAAGGAGTTGATTGAAATTTGGGAAAGAAGAAAGGAGAAAGCACAAAAAAACTTTTTTTTGCGTCAAATTTAGTTTTTCCATCGAAAACTTCTAAAAAATCGTCCAAATAATAGATGCTCGGGCGGCTTCTCGAGATGATAGCACAATAAAATACAATAAAAGGTTGTATACCTCGTGTAAAAAAATTTATAATTGTGAATAATATCACACCTGGCTCCTCTGGTCTCATTCAACCACTTTATATGTTTTTCTTTTTTTACTGTTTAGAAATCTTTCATCGCAAAAAAATTCGACTCTATTTTTCCCTTTTTTTGAAGCCCCTCTCATACCAAAAGGTTAGTTCTATTGTTCACCGAAACTTTTGAAATTTCATAGAGAATGCGAAATTACATTGACAGGTCTCCCTGTGTTTCGGGCTCGTACTCGTACCTGGTTTCTTTTTTTTTCACGAGTGATTTTTCACTTATATTGATTCGATCCAATCGTGTTGTGATCTCGAAAGCCATGAACCAATTATTAGAACTTTTTCAAACTTTTTTTGCTGTTTTTGTTTGATGATGATAGAGTGTAGAAGAATTGAATAAAACAAGGCAAAAAAAAGTTTGACGTCAAAAGGAATCGAACCGAGCATAGCGTCAGCGCCATTTAAGAGCACTGCCACTTCACCACGCTCCCAGTTGCTGGCCGAGCACTCCGAGCGCGGGCATATACTTGGCGGCAAAACTTTGACGAGCTTTTTCTCGGTACCATATGGCGCTTAGCAGACTTTTTCTTTCGTTTTGGAGCACTCTCCCCTAGGTCCATCTACCATATAAGCCTCAATTCCTAACTCGATGTTCACCGCGCACACAGCCCTTGTTAGCGGCTTAGGGGTCAGATCTTAAATCCCTATAGGAAACTCTTTTCGTCCCCTAGAGGGACCACTCCGAATTCCTACTCGTTCTGTATTTTCTTCATGCCGGTGAGAGAAAAGAGACGCAGAGAGGTCAGTGTTCCTCTTTTGGAAAATGAAGCTTCAAAAAAATTTCACGTGGACTGAAGGAAAATAAAATTAACGGGAAGGGCTTGGAAGAATGGGACATTTCAGCCGAATAGATGATTCTAGCGCTGTTGGCCCTTCCGGCGCTCGTCGTCGCCGCCGACTACGATCCGAGCAGATTCTCGGTTTCCCACGTCTTCTGAATCGCCCACAACGTCGTCTTTCAGTTCTTCTGCTCCGCCTACGAGAAAAACGGCCATCGTTACATGACCGAGTACGACACGGTCAACGGCAGGGGAGAGTTTATCGAAATCGCCGCCATGTGAGTTCCTTTCCTGGTTTCTCTGCGCCCTCTTTTCTCTCGTCGGCGAGAGAAAAGAGGTCGCAGACTGGTCAGACTGCAAGCCAAGGCGAGAATGATTGATTTTTGATGGATCATCATCAAAATCATGATCAAATCTTGACCTTGCTCGGCGCTTAGGGCCCTTTAAAAGATGCGTCAGACTAGATGCGACTTGCGCGCGACGTTATGAGAAGAGGGCCCTTCAAAAATTTTGAAAAGCCTTGAAGGTGCAGGAAATCGAAAAAAAAAAAACCGGACTTTCCTATTTTCTGATAGAAGATGAGGCCCTGGTGGCAAAGAAAAACTTTTTTTTTAATTTTTGAGACATTATTAGCTTTTAAGCTTCCTCAAGTCATTTCAGCAAGCGTAATCCGGTTTGGCTGGCTTCATTTTTAAATTTTGATCCATCATAACTTTTTTCTCAGCTGTCCTCGAAACCTTTTGAGCATAAAAATGAAAAAAGAGTGAAAAACTACATCAAATTTACCTATTTTTCACCTTTAAAAAATCCTTTCTCACTCAAAAATCTTCTAGAATCAAGGACAAGAAGACGATTTTCGGCTCGGTCCAGCAAGGAACCGCAAATTTCTACTTTAAAGGCGATACCGAGACCCGCAGCGGGAACGCCTATTTCCTTCTTCACGGCGATCACTACAAGTGAGTTTTCAAAGTCTATATTTATCCTGTACGGCCGAAAACTTCAATAATGAGATCTTTCAAAGCCCTTTCTTTATGAAAACCTTTTTAAAATCTTCTTAAACCACAATGCTACCAAACAGGCGGCATTGGGCGTGGCTACATGCAATGGGGGCGCGGTTTATTGCAATAGGGGCGCGACAGTAAGAGCCGGTTTTTGTGCATTTACTGGATGGAAATATATGCCGTGTTCAATTTGATTCCGCAAAATGTAAAATGATCTCTGACTGTCCAAAATTAAGTGATATTTTCCTTCCTCTAACGGGTATTTTGCATTTCGCGGAATCAAATTGAACACGGCATTAGCGTTGAATATTGTTTTTCAAAGCCTTTTCGAATTTTTAGAATATCCCAACAAACTTTAAAAAAAAAAATAAATTTTCAGCATCGTTAGAAAGATTGCCAATGCGAAATCCCAAATGTGCGCCACCGTGCTGAAATACGGTGATAATATCATTGGACTGATTAAAAGGTTTTTCGCTTTTATATAAATATCTTTTTTCAAAAACATAAAATTCAGAGGAGCTAAGAAGCAAAAGTTTGTCGGAACTCTGGACAGTTCCACGGACACCTTCTACTACCTCGATCATGTGGAGCAAAAAAAAGTATGCTTTTTAGAGATTATTCTTGCTCATTCGAAGTAATTTCCAGGAAGATTTGAAAGTTTTCGATGACATTGCTGCGGGAAAACTGCACGAGGATTCGTTCGAGGTTCTCTGCTACGAGGAGCACAATTATGCCTAATAAACTTTTGTTTATCGCGTTTAAAATGTTTTATTGTGTATTTTCAGTTCAAAAGAACGAAATGCATCTGAAGGCTATATAAAAAACAAATTGAAATTGAAATTTTCATGGTTTTCTGAAATTTTCTCATGATCCTGCGGTATTTCTAATGAGTTTCACATCGAAAAATGGAAAGGGATAGTCTCCTGTTCACGGTGGATTAGTATTACAAGAAACGGGAAGTAAAAGATAACGAAATTTTGTCAAATAATGCCTAGTATTAAAAATTGATATGACAAAGCCGCTAACATTTATTTCATCAAATACTTGGAGAAAAAAACGCCGGCACAGCCCTTTCGAGCTGTTTCCCGCTCTTTTTTAAAGGCATAGGGGCAGTGAAAAATGGGGTTTCAGGTGAAAGCAGTATCTTATATAGTTTTTCTTTGCGAATCGAATGGTGTACTCCAAAAAATTACAGATGTGACAACTTTAGAAGAAAAACGCGATTTTACTTTCCCGCCTTTATTTTTGAAAAAAGCTTTGGATCGGTATGCAGACAACTGTTTACAGTAGCCGTGCACGCGATGTTGCGGACGTCTCATTAGAATCGCATTTGGTAAGAAATAACCGGCTATCTGCTTCAAATTAGGGGTTTCGTCTCTGAAACGTCGATTAAGAAAACAGAAAACACACATTGATAATAAAGAAAACACAAAATATCGCTATCCCCATCGAAACCTGTGTAAAATCATCATTTTTCACCAGAGAAGCATTTTTGCGATCAAAGTTTGCAAATTTAACATGAATATAAAGATTTTGTGACAAAAAGAACTTTGGTGACAACAGAAAAAATTAAAAATTGAAAGCAACGAAGAAAAAAGCGAAATTCCGAAAAATGGCGAAGCCTATTGTCCATAGAGCAACTTTACTGCAAAGCGCTCTTTTCGCGGGAACTCAAGCTTTCCTTTCTCCGACTTTGAATTATTTTTTCTTCAAAACTAGGGACTACTGTACGTTTCCAAGTTCACCGTTCGAATCGCAATGAAAAGCTCTACAAAGTACTGCTTTCGGGCATATTACAGTATAGCCCCCCGCATATGTTGGATATCACCCCCCCGCGACACGTTCGAACAAGCCCCCCACACTTATCCAATATATCCCCCCCGGAACTATTCAGTATAACCCCCACACCGAAAAAAAGTCACGCAACGATCACGCAGGACACGTGTCAGAGCTTCCATTTTTTTAAATTTATTTTCTAATTTTTTTCGTATCATTCGTCGTTCTTGGTTTTTTTCAAATGGTTTTTTTGTATTTTCGCATGTAAATTCGTGTTCTTTTTTTGTGAATTTAATAATAATTTTTTTGTGATTTGTTTTTTTTAGACGATGGAAGAAATTAGGGTCGCTGACCGAGTTTCATGAGAAGTTCAAGTCAGACAAAGAAGTTTACGGGTACGTCTCGCCGAGATACGTACGAATATCATAAAATTATGGGGCGCTGACCACTTAGAAAAATTTAAGATGAACTTTATTAGTTTTCAATAAAGTAATTGTTCTGAGGAATAGAATTTTTTGCTTTTTCTTTTCATGCACATTAATTAATAAATTACTTAGGAAAAATAGGCTTAGTTTTAAGGCTTCACACGGAGGCGGAGCGCGCATAGCGCGAAGCCGACTGTGGCTCGCTTTGAAAAAAACTGAGCCACAGTGAACAATTCGTCAAATAAATAAAAATACTTGACATAAAGGGGGTCATTCTGAAATAGAGGGGGCCATTCTGAAATGGGAGGGGGCCATTCTGAAATGGAGGGGGCCATTCTGAAATGAGAGGGGGTCATTCTGAAATGGGAGGGGGCCATTCTGAAATGGAGGGGGTCATTCTGAAATAGAGCAGGGGCCATTCTGAAATGGGAGGGGGCTTGTTCGAATGAGCTCTGGGGGACTATTTCAAAGCCGTGCGGGGGGCAAATATGAAAGATTGCCTAGGCATTTCAGAATCGCCCCCCGTTTTTGTACTGTGGGGGGCCATTCTAGAATACATATTCACCCCCCGCGTTCGATTCTTCCCCCCACATGAAGTCCTCCTATTTTACCCCCCACAGATCGGAACTTGGCTTGGGGGGCTTGTTGGAACGCGGGGGGCAAAAAAACAGTGTGGGGGGCGATTCTGGAATTTTCCCCTGCTTTCAACTGAAACACCGTTTTTTTACTGCCCCTATGCCTTTAACGACGAAACAAAAAAATATTCAAAAAAGATCAAAAAACAAGTTAAAATTGACCGCTCCGCCGTGGACGCTTCCTGGCCCCTTCCTTTTTTTTATTCGTTAATAATCCCTTCAAAAAGGTTTATTTGGCATGGCTTTGGGTTGATCTTTGTTTGGTTACACATTCCTTTCACATTGTTCAAGATTTTTCTCTTTTTTTTTTGTTATCAGATGTGGTTCAAATCGAGAAAAACCAGGTTTTTGAAATTTTTTTGTTGGAAGAGACCCCCATCTGAAAATCTGCTTTAACACGGAAGTCGGTGAAGAACGTTCTCCAAAATGGCTTCAACGTGCGAAAATCTCTTGAATCAGTAAACCGAAATTTCAAAGAAGTCAAAACTATATTTCTTGCGAGATTTTCTCGCTTTTCTCAATTTCCTAGTGTTTGCTGTTCGCTTTATTCAAAAATTTACTTCGCTCAAAAATTCAAATTTTTTTCAGCCACTTGGAACTTTACAACGAAGGATGAAAATAAAAAGTGAGTTTTTTTTTTTTTGTTGAGCTAAATTGCTGTCAATAATTTCTTTCTGATTGAATTTTGAATAATTTCAGCCGGAAATGCAGGCCGTGGAGCTGGCGCTACGCGTGGCGGCCAAGACGGCGATGAGGGACGTGGGGTCGTGCGCCAAAATCTCGCTGATCGTGCTCGATCTCCTACAGTTCTCGATTTTGGTAATAACTTAAAGCAACTTTTTTCAAAAAAGCTTCGAAGTGAATTATTCTAACGAAAATTCTCTGAAATGCAAAAAAAATCTGATTAGAATTATAGTTTCTTCATTGAAAATAGTTCTTTCAGGTTCAAGTTCTCAGAAGTTAGGGACCACCGTGCCTACTCATATCGTCTCAAACCGTCACCGTTATCGCCTCGAGTCGGTAGACGTCGGATTTGAGAATGGTCCGACTGTCCGGTTGCTCCGGCTGAAACTGCTCCGAACAAGTCTGCGATAAGTGCGTTTAGAAATAAAATTGAACAACATTTTTCCGCATTTTAAAATCAACATTTTACGGGAAACAAATCCAGGAAAATTTCGAACGCCATAACTCCACATTCGTATTCAAAAAAAGTCATAAATTTCTGTCTTTGTGTCCGGTTTCTTGATTGAAATCAGATCAAAAGGGTCAACTTTTTAGGATCCGTAGACTTTTAATGTTTTATCAATACACGGCGACACCACGCAAGCCAACTGATGTAAAAAAAAACAACGCCACGCGACGCACACGCGCACTCGTCTGATGGGGCGCGCTTGCTGTTTTTCGCATTTTTTTGTGATCCTAATTTGGCTTGGAAAATTTTGTTTTGGGTTTTTCTTCAAATATAGAGCGTTTCACGAAAGTCCCCGCCATAGAATTGTAAAGGGCTCGCTCATGTTTCGATTGCTACCGAGCATGCATTTTTCAGTTTAGTATACTGTTAGAAAACGATGATTACAAATTTGGCTTGAAAAGGGACATAAACTCAATTTTCTCATCGGCTAGAGCGAATCTTGAAAATCTGTCCCATAGAATTGTGCTCGATGTTATTGGCTACAGTTTGACATCAATTGCGGGAGTTTTCGTTTTGGGTGCTCAGAAAACCCGTTGATCGAAAAAATCACGGAAATCAAAAATTATCTTTTTTTAGATGAATTTTTGATATTAAATTGTTCCTTTTAACAAATAAATTATGATATAGTAAACGCGCGGTCGCAAAAAAATTTTTTTCTTTCAAGGAAAAAAATCAGTTTCGAAGCTGTTTTGAGTCAAATTCGCGAACGTCGTTTTTTTGAATTCTTCAGTTGTCCGTAAATTAAATTTTTTTTATTTATAATGAAGCAATGACTTCTAAACTAAGTTTTAAACGCGGTTTTCCCAAAGAAAAAATTTTCTGGTACAAGAAAAACCCCATCTTTTTTTAAACCATTATCGATTAGGTTTTTCTCGATATTCAGTCGGGTTCCCGTTACATAAGATTTTTTTTCTGACAGAACCTTGTTTTTTATTGTCAGTTCGAGATTTTCACCAGTGTTTAGAGGTCAGAAAAAAATTTTGGAGGTTGCAATTGAATACTATTTCTGAAAGGAGTTGTTTCTCTTCATTTTAGTTCTAGATGAATTTTTTTGAATATTAATGTTCTAGAATGTTTTTTTCGGCGATCTCTGAACAAGTACCAGCCATAAATTAGATTTTATTTAATATAAACGTCCAATCTCGCTTTTTTTGCGCGTCGCTTTTCATGCATCGCGTGCACTGCGTACAACATATTTTATTTTCCGGCATTATGTTGGGTATGGCGTCGATTTGGTGTCGCCGTGCAATATCGGATAAAATTTAGACAGTGACGTCAACAGTTCCTTGATAGATAGTCCTGCCGTCTCTCCGGCGACGCTCGTCGACTTGGCCGGTGAGTTTCTTCAAAACTTTGACTTTTTTGATAAAAAATGTTTTCAGAGAAGGTTGCCAAAATAAACGCCGGAAATTCTCGTGCGGCTCCAAACCACTCTGGACACTATGTATTTGTCAACTCGTGAGTTTTTCTTAATTTTCGTCAATTTATCAAAACCACAGTGAAATACTTTCTTCTATTGTGAACAGCGGTTTAGAACTTTCGGAGCTTTTTTGGAGCTTGAAAAACTTCTATAAGACTTAAGACTTTTGAGATTTTATTCCAATTCATAAAGGTTTTGGGAGTGACGCGAACTTGACGGGAATCGAGATGAAGATATTTTGATATGGAGAAATTGAATAAGATGATTTCCTCAATAACAAGTTATTCCAATTGTTTTATTTTTTTTACTCAGTTTGAATACTCAGCGAGTACTACACCGCCGAAGCCGTCAGCATCGAAGCCGAAAGTGTGGTTGCATTACCTGCCGACGCCACTCAAGGCACCGGCAGGCCCACAAATTTCTCTTTTGTGGTAGCATCACTCTCCAACGGTCAGTGGCTTGAAAATCTCAACATTCCAAGTCGAAAACTCTCAGTATGAAGTAAACTTTCCCGAAAACCTTACCTTAGGTAGAGTTTATGTTTATTCAGAACAAATGCATTTCTCAGAAACTGCTGAAAATTCTTAATATCATTCAGAGAAAGCTTTAGCTAATAACTTTTGTTTTCACCATAAATTTTCTGTTCAAATTTCGGAAATTTCGAAGGTATTTTTTCTGACAGAACCTTAAACGAGTACTTCACCGCCGAAGACATCGAAATCGAAAGTGCGGAAGGATCACGTGCCGACGTCACTCAAGGCGCCGGCAGGGCCAGCCATATCTCTTCGGTTGTCAGTTCTGTTTCGACCGGTGAGTGGCTTGAAAATCTCAACATTCAAAGTCGAAAACTCAGTATGAAGTAAACGTTCCGGAAAATCTTACCTTAGGTAGAGTTTATATTTATTCAAAACAAATGCTTTTTTTCAGAAATTGCTGAAAATACATAACATCATTCAGAGAAAGCTTTAGCTAATAACTTTTGTTTTCACCAAAAATTTTCTGTTGAAAGTTCGGAGATTTCGAAGACATTCCAAAAATAAAAACTTCAGATTCTTACGGGCCGGGTTCTCCACTCATGGCTTCCACGCCAATCGACCAGTCAGAGGCAATTCCAGTGATTCCCGCAGTGCTCAACTTCGACTCGTCTTTGGTAAATTTATAACAATCAGCTTTCGATTTGCACCAAAAATCTGCGAATTCTTCTTGGAAAAAGTTATTAGCGTCACTAGGAAAAAACATTTTGAAAAGGAGTGGCAAGTGGCAAAAAAAAGTAAACTGCCATTCCGATCACATACGGAAAGAAAAACGGTCGAAAACGACGACAGTCTGAAGTTTGGTCACGACACACCACCTTGTAACTGGTTTTCTAACTTTTAAACAAATTTTTTTCAAACTTCTTTCTGTTTTTCTAAATATTAGAGTGTCTCTATTAATTAGATAAGTTCATTAAGAGTACTGGAAAAATTTATTCGCTCGAATATTTGATGCAAACTCAAAAAACGTCATTTTCCCCTATTTTCAATACAAAATATTTTTTAAACGGCAGGGCCACGCCTGGCATTGCCAGTAAGTTTCTTTAAAGTATCCGCGCAAAAATCATATAATCTATCATGACATCGATTGAATTTTTGATTTTCTATCGATTGAAGATTCCAAATCAGTATAAGAATCATTTTTGATTAGTCAGCCAAAACATGATGTTGATGACTTATTGTTGGACTTGAATTTTCATTCTGAAGCTGTAAACGCGAAATTTCAGCCGTGGCAGCGCAGACGGATAGTACGGACAACCTTCTTTCATCCGGACCTGTCCAAAAGCGTCTCAATCAAACTTGACAAGGCCGTTTCTCCCTTTGGTAGGTATCTCATGTGGGGCTCATTGCGACAAGTTTCTTTAGAACAACATTTCTTTCAAATCGAAATGGATTAAGCTGCCTTCACTAGCTTATTAATTTTGAGAAACACTTTCTCAGCTACGCGGAACAACGCCGGTTCGCTGCCGATTCCACCGAACTCCTTTGTGCCGAGAGAAGGCGACGTCGTCTTTCGATTCCCGCCTAACCAATTGAGTGGTATTTTTTAGAATGTAAAAAAAATATAAAAAATCCAAGAGAGTCAAAAAATTTCATTAGGCGCAGACTTATTCTTCGCCATTTTACATTATCACAGTTTTTCTATGTTATTTTTAGAAAGAAGAAAAATTGAGAAAAAAAGGCTCGAAAAATGTTAAGTTTTGAAAAAAAAGAGCGAAAACCGTTTGACTATTTTTTTTTTCTAACATATGAATTCATCATCAAAATCTTTCAAAAATCACATTTTTTTGTTATCACGGTTCTCTATGTTATTTTATATCACGTTCACGGTTATTTGTGAACTGTTTATCGGTTGGAACATGTTGTTGGGTAATAATTGTTTTTTCAAGATTTTTTTTTTTGAAAATTCCCCGATTCGGGTAAATAGGAATGCAAATGGATTTTAACAGGATTAGAAACTTAGGAAATAAAAAGGAAAACAAAAAGGATTTAAAAAAAATGGTTAAAAAGGAATTTTCCAGTTCAGCCGCGAACACGCGCTCTGCAGCATCCCTCAAGGGGTGAGTCAAAGGGCAAGGAAAGCGTCCACGAAGGAGCGGTCAATTTTAATTTGTTTTTTGACCTTTTTTGAATAGTTTTTTGATTCTTCGTTAAAAAAGAGCGGGAAACAAATGGAAAGGTTTTTAGGGAAGATTTCCCTCAGGCGCAACTCCCTCCGGTTGCTTGACTGGCAAGCTCGTTCAAAGAGGTAGAGTTTTGGTTGAGCTTAGCTCCTTTGGTTCCCGCTCTTAGGCTCTTTTCTTCGTTAAACAGGATCTCATTTTTATCTTTAACTAGGACATGTTTAGAATTGACCTACGTTGACCGAGAACAATTTCTTCTTAGATGGAAGGAGTTCTCAGGGTTTAATTCTAATCGTTGACTATTTTTTACTCAGGATTATTAGGACTAGGATTCTTTTAAAAGAGGTAGTCACAATTTAGGCCAGGTTACGCTAGGTTCATCTTCGGAAACTAGGAACTCACGTTTTTTTTTTCCAATTTTCTGGTTTATGGGTTTTTTTTCTTACACGTGTACTTCGTGTCTCCCCTCCTTCTGTATTCCCGGTTTTATCCTGTAATAACCAGAGCATAAAGATTTTGTATATGAAGCGTTTGTTTGATGATGATGAACCAAAGTTATCTGGGATCAACGCCATCTAGCTCATAACTTTTTTCAAAATCAAAATATTTGGTCAAAACAAAGTTATTTGATGCCGTTACGGTTACCGTGACAATGGGACATACACCATTTTAGGCTACCTAAAAAATTTTTTTAAAAAAAGGTCATTTTCAAAAACCGCAGGGAGGAAAAGATTTCGTTTTAGGTTCGCAGTTAAAATACTTTTGAAATTGTTCAAACTGTATTCAGAAACTATATTCAGATCCTACTGAAGAGAGGATTTTTTTGAAAAAAATTTATATAGGAAAGTGTAAAAAAATGAGAAGTTTCGAGCTTTGAAAAAAATTGAAGGTAAAATCACTTGGACATGTTTTTTTCGGACAGTAAAAAAATGTTCAAAAATTTGAGATTTCATTTTTTTATATCTATGGACATGTATCTTCAGACATTTTTTCCGCTTTCAGCACATGAAAGTATATCAAGGCATCCGACGGATGCCAACAAAACTTGGGAAACCCAGTCGCCATCGTGGGGGAGCCACGAAACAAAAGGATTTGGGTTTCCCCCGCAATTTTTCAAAATTTAATCAACCTGAACTCAACAAAAGTTTAAAAATTCAACTCATCTGAAATTTTTTCACTGAAAAAAATATTCCCAAATTGTGTGCCTTACTGAAAATTAAATAATCATCATCATGAAAAGAAGCTTCAGAAATCATATTTTGATTAACTCGAATTTCTAACCTTTTGAGGCCTCAATAACTCTAGTGAAGCTTTTAATGGCAGAAAAACACAATTTTTATTGGCACACAATTTGGGAATATGTTTTTCAGTGAAAAAATGTTCGATGAGTTGAATTTTCGAACTTTTGTTGAGTTCAGGTTGATTAAATTTTGAAAAACTGCGGGCGAAACCCAAATCCTTTCGTTTCATGGCTGCCCCACGATGGCGACTGGGGTTATTTTTGACTTTTATGATGAAATCAATCAAATTCAAGAAAAACGTTTTTGTAGAAAAATTTTTCAGAGAGCGATATAGAGCAAGACGTTTGCGAGGTCGCAGCGAGAGGCGAGCATTATTGCTCGCGGCTCCCCGCGGTATAGCGTTACTCTCGCTGCGATATAATCCACAATTTTGGGTGAATGCTCCCAAACAGGCGGCATTGGGCGTGGCTACATGCAATGGGGACGCGGTTTATTGCAACAGTGGCGCGGCAGTGAGAGCTGATTTTTGTGCATTTACTGGATAGAACTATAGCGTTTAATAATGTTTTTTAGGCCTTTTTGAATTTTTAGAATATCCCAACGAACTCTTAAAAAAAACAAATTTTCAGCATCGTCAGGAAGATTGCCAATGCGAAATCCCGAATGTGTGCGACCGTGCTGAAATACGGTGATAATGTCATTGGACTGATTAAAAAATTTTTCGCTTTTATTTATCTCTTTTTTCAAAAACATATAAGTCAGAGGAGCTAACAAGCAAAAGTTTTTCGGAACTCTGGACAGTTCCACGGACACCTTCTACTTCTTCGATCACGTGAAAGATAACAAAATTTTGTCAAAGAATGCCTAGTATTAAACGTTGATTTGACAAAGCCTCTAACATTTATTCCATCAAATACTTGAAAAAAAAGCCGACACAGTTTTCTTAATGAAAACTTGAAAAAAAAAAGCTGAAAACGGCAAAAAAAAAGAAAAATCATAAAAAACTTCGTTTAGCGCAAGCCGGTGTAGGATTGCGTCGCTCCGCAGCGCGGTGTATTTTAACCGCGTAAAATTTCATAATTTTTTTTCAATCGTCCAATTTTTTCGTTTTCCGGAAGCGTATCGACACACGAGGTTTGTTTCCTTATACATCTATTAATGTTAAATTTGTGAAAATAGGCTTAGAATTAAGTAAATTGAGAAAAAAAGACTTGAAAAAAATTTAAATTTTTGAAAGAAAACGACCAAAAAAACGTTTGACTATATTTTTTTTCTCAAAATCTTTCAAAAAAACCTCATTTTTTTCTTTGTTATCACGGTTTTCTATGTTATTTTATCACGTTTATGGTTATTTGTTAACTATTTATCGGTTGGAACGTGTTGTAGTGTAATAATTGTTTTTTCGAAGATTTTTTTTTGAAAATTCCCCGATTCGGGTCAATAGGAATAAAAAAATGGATTATATGGATTATAGACTATTAAAGTTATATTTTTTTAATTTTGTCTTTTCTAATGTTAAAAAGATCAAGTTTCATATTTATCAAAGGAAAGGTCAGTTATGAATAATCTGGTCAAGAAAAACGAAAGGACAATTTTCAGTCTTTTTTATTTCAATATTCAAATTTTTCAGGATTCCACGGAAAGTATGCGACTAATAACCGACCAAGGAACTCAATTTTGGTATTTTTACATTTGTTTTTTTTTTGAAATTGAAGAAAATTTTTCAGAAAATGATGGAATATTCTCACTTTCTTGTTGGAGGCTGGCCAAAATTGCTGGATAATTGTTCAGGTATTCTGATAATTTTTTTGTGTTTGAAAAAAATCATGGATACTTGTGGAAACAGACTCATTGGATTGGAAGAATATAAACTTTCAATGATTTTTTTTTTCACGAAAAAAGGTCCCGTTCAGACCCGAAAATTTGAAAAAAGTCATTAAATAAGGGAGTTTTTTTGTTGAGTATGTAATTAACTTTTTAGAAAAGGAACCATTTTTCTTTGTTTTTTAAATTTTTTTAGCCCGGAAAATTAAAAAAATTTTTTTTCACGGCCTTTTTTTTTTGGCGTGTGCATGCACTGCGGCGCTCTCGCACATGCCGTTCAAAGTAATTTTCGCGAAATTCAAAAACCATTTTTTATTCTCTCGCGGCTATTTTGAGTTTCGCGGCATCACTTCGAACACGGCATATGCTTTGAAAAATGAAAAAGTGCTTTTTTAAAATGAGAAGCGTCTCATGACCCATTGAACATGCGCCTTTAATATTCCCTTATCATACGCTTGTTTCCCATGACGTCACATGGGAACGGCAAAAGTTTTGACCACGCCTCCTTCTTTTTTGGTTTCGCATTTTCTTCCACTAACAAAAACGGCGTGTTTTATTAGAGGAGTGCAGATTTTATTCAAATAAGTCTTCATTTGTATGATCTTTCTTTAGAATAACAAGTTTTTTTATCGAAAAAAGAGCAGGAACCATTCAGTTATTCCTTCATTTATTAAATTTTGCCGTAAAATAGTCCATAACAATTTCGTTTATCGAAACAACGGTTCTCACTGTCAAACAGCCGTGCAATTATTATTAACGACTTGGAAGCCACTGTCGCAGGCACCTTCATCGGAATAGCTACATGGCGCGGCGCTCATGCAGCATTCATTTTTCACTTCGACTTCATGCCTGAAATTTTACATTTTTGGCAATCAATTTTTTTTTCCCGACTGGACAGACGAGATGGGTTGATTGGGATGCGTTGCGTGTGCGACGCGGCTTTCTGAGGTCAAACGCGAGCTTGTTCTCCTTTTGTGACCGTTTTTCAATAATTTTATATTTTTTAAGGTTTTCAAACTGTTGATGATCAAGTTGAAAACATGGTTCTAACCAGAAATGCACGAGACACGATCTCGTCTCGAGATATTTCGAGATGAAAAAAAAAATATTTTTTACGCTGAAAGTCAAAAATAAGGCGCCATATATGACGTTCCGGTTATAACGTCAAAAAAAACCACAGCGCAGTTTCATATTTTGCGTAATAGCTCTCAATAAAGAGAATTTCTCGCATGTTTTTGAATTTCGGTCGTTTTTAAGTGTTATTTCGAAACAAAAACTTAGTTTTTTTTCATCTCGAATTGTCTTGATTTTGTCGCGATCTCGTCTCGAGATGAAAAAAAACCTCGTCTCGTGCATTCCTGGTTCTAACTTCCTTCTCCTCGTTTTTTTGCCCCCCTCCCTCTCCCAAAGCCGCGTCGCACACGCAACGCGTCACCTTTGCCAATCTACGCATCTTGACTTATGAGTCGGTAAGGATCAACTACAGCCGTCAAAAGGCGCTCTTAACGAAACTGACATCTTTTAATTCTTGAAAATAATGATTTCAATCTTTATCCTTCAAAATTTTAACCTCAAAGCAAATTTTTCTAAAGCACCCGGTTTCAACTTCTTCGGGCAAGGATTTTGTTTTTCAACCATAGTTTTTCAAAGTATTGAAATCTGGTCAATAGTTAAGAATTATTGAGCAAAAGCCTAGTCGAAAGTTGGTTTTTGACGGCTGCAAAAGGCATAAATTTGCTTGGCTTCCTAAAACTAACTGAAAAAGGGAGTCCCCAGTTTGAAGACGCCATCGAGTCTCTCGCTCGTAACATCCGCACAAATACCCTCGGTATCCACAAGACCACTCGCTCCAAGGCTATTGCAAATGTGAATTTTGAAGCAAAATTTCGAAAGTTTTAAGAAAAGAAGAAACCAAAAAAATAAACCGTTCTGGTGACCCTCTTTCTACGTCCACCGTCGAAACGTGGTTTTTATATTAATGAGTCAAAGTTTGCGCTTCAAGTTTAGAGTAAATTCAGATCTAATTTTTTAAAAATATTTAACCGATTTTCGTTTGGATTTGATTCAATAGCTTATTTCAATGCGCAAACAGCTTAATAAACGTTTTTTTTCGTAAGTCGGTTGGTACAATAATTTTCGAGTTTTTTTTCGAACGGAAATTCACACCACAAACCCACTCAACTAATGACACCAGGCTCCGCCCCCTCTTACGGTTACAGTTACAAGAATACCGTGAAGAGATAACTCTTTTCCTATTCAAGTGTTTCGGTTCAAACAAGGTTTATACACAAATTCCTTGAAAGTTAGGTTTCATTTTGAGTTTTTGTTTCAGATTTGAAAATTTTTGAACCGAATCGCTTCACTAGGAAAGAAAAAGTCAGCTCTTTGCCGTATTTTCGCCGCCAGAAACCGTAAGAGTGGTCGGAGCCTGTCGGAACCCGGTATAATTAGTTGAGAAGGTTGCACAGCGTTTGTAGTAGGGTTTCACGCTCGAAAAATCAAACTTAAAAATTATTGTACCATCAGATTTCCCAGTTCATCGGGTTTCTCGGAGAACGTGTGTTGAGCGACTTTTCTGTCTCCTAAGCCATTTTCGTAATTTACGCAGGAACCTTTTCTGACCTAGAATAGAACACTGAAGAATAATTGAGCGGCGTCTTGATCTTTAGAAATCGAAAAGCTTTTTTGAAATGGTTACGCTCCAAAAAGAATGGTTTTGGTATAAACTTTCCGGAAAAATTTTCTTCTGTCATCCTGTAAAATGATGACAAAAGAAAAAAGATCGGCTGGTACGAAAAACAATGACTCATTTTATTCGAGTCGAAGTTTTGGAAGTTCCAAAATTCAAAATACTTTTATTTGATATAACATTAGAGTTCAGGGAACCCTTTTTGCTTTTTCAAAACCATAAAAGGTGTCATTCGGTGGAATTAGTCTCGAAAGAAAGAAAACGAACCGTTACGAAACTGAGCGAAGATGCAGGACAAATTTCGGGAGCCGAGTCGATTTTCAAGTAAACTTTATGTAGAGACCCAAGATTGTCGGCAATCTCAGCAGCGTCTAACACAGGAGTGATCGAAGTAAGAGGGGGATAATCAACTGCCATTAAAAATTCAAAGGGCTCCCCATTGGCACGTGTTCCGTAGCCCTGAAATTCTTCCCTCATACCGAACTCGGCGCAAAACAAAACAAAATGAAATAAAAACCCCGCAATTAACACTTCCGTCACACCATTCAAGTGCCGCCTCCGTCGTAAAGGGCTTCGGAGCATGCGTCTTAACATTATCCAAAGAGTATGTGTAGATTTGCACATAGTCACACCCTGAACTAGTCATCTACAAACGAAAGCGAAAATTCTCGGTACCGATACCAGAAGTTGCACGGAAAAGCAGGAAAAGAAGCACACCTTGGAGCATTTTGGACAGAATGGGGAAAAATAAGGTTTATGGTTGCGGAGGCCGTCTCCAGCCGTATTTCACTATTCGGCTCCCATTCAAATATATTTTCCAAAGAACAGAGGCATTTCAAGACTGGAGATGATTTTGCCTTGAGAACTTCCTGACGATCGGCCGCAACACTTTTTGATGTGCACCAGATTAATAATAACCTTCATTGACAAAACAAAGCAGATAAGAGCAAATGTGATCAAGGGAAAAAAAGGAGATTCCACTGCCAGAAAAAAGATACATGCTAACGAGATACATGACGATCAATCCAAGAAAAATGGAAGAAGCGTCCAGGAAAGACAGAAAAAAGTTATTGATCAAGAAAGTTTATGCCGTATAGCAAAGGTTGAGTGCCTGTTTACGATCTAAAGGGTCACAAGTTCGATCCCTACGGCTCAACTAAGTGGTTCAAGAAATTTTGGTACCACGGCGTACCCCAGCCATCACACACAAGGAGAGGCAATACACTAACTATCACTGATATCAGGAAAGGAGCTTGACTATCATTTTGTGGTCAAGCAGTACAAAGGCTCTAGAACAAGAAGAAGAGAAAAGTTAACAGCTCTACTAGATAAATTATAGTCTGTTCAGATTTTTTATGTCAAGTGCAATATAGTCTGTTCAGATTTCAAATGTCAAGTCCTCGTTGAAGCCCCGCCCCCTAATTGCGCGATAAACCAATCAGAGAGCGAGCCATCCACAGAGCGTTTTCGAATGACGTCATTCTACTTGAATTCAAAATCTGAACAGACTATAACGTCATTCAAAAACACTCTGTGGGTGGCTCGCTCTGTGATTGGTTTATCGCACCATTATGGGCGGAGCTTGAGCGGCGACTTGACATTCAAAATCTGAACAGACTATAGCAGGGGCAGAACTGAAATTGGTGAGGATAAAAGATTTTGAAAAGTCTCTACCTGTGTATCTTTCCAGTTTTCGAGAAAGACCCCTCAATTTAGGCCATTTTAAGACTTTGAACTCTCATTTCTCGACAACTAGAAAGTTGTGCAGGTTGAGACTTTCAGAATCTTCAACTGGTACATTAAGGAGTGTAATGACCCATTCTCAGGAAGTTTCGAAATGACGTTGCATGTCAGGAAAAAAAATGTTTAGTTGGAGGGTTCATGTGTATCTTGAAAGGTTTACTAAACTGAAATTTTTATTTTTTAATTGAAAGTAGAACCCAAATTCGTATGACAAGACTTGCAAGATCTTATTGTCGATTTTTAGTTTTCCGCAAAGTAAAATAACCTTACTTGTCAACAAGAATCATCAATTTTGAGCTTTTTCTTTTGGGCGCAAACTTCTACTCGGTCTGTACATGGAACGTCGCTACCACAGGGTCCATTGTACTCGACATCGTGTCTGAGATTTTTCTTGTTATAATTAACTCAAAAGGCGATGGGTTGCGTAAGCGACGCGGCTTTGGGCGCGAATCGAAAATTCAAACGCGAGTCGCTTTTTAAAAAACTCTCTTCTTTTTTGATAGTTTTTCGAAGGAGTTTCAAGCCCCACTGTGTTTTTGGTGTACCAGGAGACGCAGACATTTTTATAACCTCGAAAATCCCGCCAAAAGCCGCGTCGCGTAAGCACCGCGTCACTTGTGCCAATCGAGGAAAATTGACTATAATCTCAGATTTCTTCGAACCAACTCACTGAAAAGTTGTCGAGTTTCGCTGCAACCTCCATCGAAATAGGTACTGATAACTTCCACATTGAACCCAGTCGTCACAGGCCCATTCGCTCCAGGGCGGCTGTTTTTGAAGAAATTTCCATTAGTCAAATTTGAATAATTATTTGGTTCTTTAAAGTACAGCCTCTCTCTCATGTTTTAAAAACTGTTTATTGCATCTTCAATGTAAGAATACATGTGCAATCGACTTTCATTGATTTCAACTGTGTTTAAACGGCGGCAGGAGCTGTGGCTTAGGCAGAGAAGTTGTGAATTTCGCTCGTAGAACATCAGGTACAAGAGAGGTCGTAGGAAGAAGTACGGTGCCGGCTTTCCAAAGGCCGATGGCAGAGATTGAGCCTTTTCGCTGCATGCAGCTCCCAATTTTATCTACCCCGGAGGGATGAAAGGCTTGGTCGACCTCGGGGGGACTCGAACCTACGACCTTGCGGACGTTAGAAATGAGTTATGCCAGCTGAGCTATGCCGCCCCCTATCTCATGTTAATCATTTCAAGCTGAGCTATGCCGCCCCCTATCTCATGTTAATCATTTCAAAATAGTAACAAAAAGTATTGAATTTACGTCGAAATGCAGAAAAGTTGACGTGAACTTTTTAAAACTCGGTAACGCAGACCGACCGTGCCACGGACGTTTCCAAGCATTTCTAGGAACCATTCACGGTTTTAGCACCCTAAGTGATCCCTAGAAACGCTCAGAAACGTTTTAATGACATCTAGGGATGGTCTTCAATTCAAAAAAATTTAAAAAAAAAACCGTTTCGAAACTAAAAAGTGACGTAGGGCAGACTTCGGGGACCTTGTTGATTTTCAAGAATATTTTATGGAGGTTTCCAAGATTGTTGGCGATATAATTCGCATCTAACACTGGAGTGATAAAATCGAGTCGGGAAAAAGTGTGCATGACGTAGGAAGACCCATTTGAAAGAATAGCAAAGCCCTAAATGTATTCATTGATTGATTCGAAAAAACAAATTAGAGTTCATTCGAAACGATCTGACCTGTCTGCGCTCTCTATTTTTTCATCAAGTGAGCGCAGAGAAGCCAGGCCTTTCAATTTCTGCAATCTGTAGCGAACATCAGAAATCCAGAATGGTACTTATAGGGGCAACACTAGGGGCCCTTGTAGATTCCCCACTAGAGACCTTTTTCACCTTCCTTATGGGGGCCACTTGAGCTTTCAAAAAGCGCCTCTGTAGGGGTTTTAGTTAGCGGCTCCCATAGGAGACGTTCTCCTTCTTCTTCAGCATTTGTCCTGCTCGGTCGCAGGGTTTTTCTTCCCCTCTATTGGCTCCGTTTTTTTCTTTAACTCGTATAATGACCACTACATAATTCCTAAAAGAAGGCTATGAAACAAGAAAAAACCCAGCAATCCATCTTCCAGTTACACAATTCTATGGTTTTCTCCTCGTCGAAGTAATTGTAGAGAGAAAGTTGAGATATGGAAGATGTGTAGAATTTTACATAGCTCCCACAATCTCAATAAATTTATTTATATGGACAAGATTCATGTAAGTTACCAAAACAGAAAGTTGAGATAGGCAGAAGGAAGAGCAGATGTAGGAGCATTTTTGAACAAAATAAGAAGAACCAGGAAGTTTATTATGTTCTCCGGTCGTATTTCTGCATCCGGCTTTTTTTATTCATTTGTTTTTTTGTTGGAAACGTAGGTCAAGGCATGGAGAAAAAGCGTAGGAACGCAGTTGTAAGAGTGGAAATTCCTAGAAGACTTTTTTCTTGTTCCTATCAGAAACACAACAAAAATGTCTTGAATTCAAATTTATTCATGATATATTTTTGACGACTATCAAGCCAAAGTGCATAAATTATCAACAATTTCGTAGCCTTCGGCACATTTTGGCTCAACCTCACACGGATCAGCTTTCCCGCAAGCTTCTCCCTTTTCGCGTTCGGGCCTCAATTTTCTTTAGTTTCATAAGTTCTTTCTTTCAAAAACCCACCGAAAATAGAGAGCATCAGTTGTCCATATCCATCGGTAATTCGATCCGAACATTCCGCATTTACTTTCGTTGTCACAGTACCATTCGCTCCAACTCTGGGCGAAAATATCAGGAAAAAAGGCGGTTTCTTGATAAAAAAAATTTTTGAAATCGGTACCGCAATAAATTGATGCGGTTTTGATGAAAATTTTTTTTGAAGTTTGATGAGACTTTGAAAAACCTTGCCGCGATGTAAAAAAAGCTTCTCCAGGGATTCAGTTTCGAATCGAGAACCATTTTGAAAAACCTCTTTGATCATAAATTTCAGTCTTCAAATTGAAGCTAGTTAGGATTTTCGGGTTTTCTATTTTCTAGAGTACCTCAAAAAGCTGAAGTTGACCCGATTTAGGAAACTTTAAGGTGAAACAGCCTAGATGTTTCAGTATTTTTCTCAAAATTGTACTTCCAGGAGGTCCTACTCGACTCAAAATGGTCCTGCAGAAGTCGATAAAAGACCGTTCGACTCAGTATTTCCAACTGTATTCCCTGGAAAAATTTGGAAAACGAGGCATTCAAAATCTGACATTACTGAGAAACTTGAAGTCGGTCTTTAAGGAAGTTTAATAGCCCCTACGATTTGCCTTAGGAAAGCACTGAAGCTTTAGGCTTCAGTGAACCGCCTAGAAACTACTCCAAGTTCAGTTGGTCAAGTGGCTAAGTCTCTCGCTCCCCACCAAATTCCCTGCTGAAGTATCTGTTACAGTAGGTCAAAAACGTTAAAACGGAGTTGCGAAAAAAAAACGATTCAAAATTTACAAAATTGATAATGATTAGTCCAGGGCGTTATCGCCACGTACTTGACCTAGTTGCCAAAGACTACGTAAATTAATGGCTCATTTCTATAGTCAATGTTTCCCGACTTGAAAGGTGATATGGGCTGGTTGGCAAGGGCGAGGTGTTACGTGCGCGACGCGGCTATTTGGCGGCGAGCCAAAATTCGAATGTGGGAGACAATTTGGAGACTTCGGCCACCGCTTTTTTATTTCCTTTTTTATTTTTCTTATTCAGTTCTAATTGAGTTTTTCGATTTTATTTATTTTCTCAATAGAATATTGTAAGCGAACACCTTTTCTGTGTGTTTTGCATAGAAAATTTCTCGAAAGTGCAGCGAAACGTGAAGCATTTTCGGAAAACTTTTCACTGGTTTTTGTTTCTTTCGTATTTGCTAAACTTCTCAATTTTAAACCTCTAACATCTTTATAATTTTTTTCTATTATGATTGATTGCAGGTCGTAAGAAGAGAAAAAAACCATGACCTTTATTGAAAATCGACTCTTCGTGAAACTCGGTGTGAAACCCTCGACTTCTGAGATTTTGAAATTCTTCAATCGTATTTTGCTTGGTCTGAAAAGTATCATCAATGAATAAATACAGTAAATTTTTCACAGCACAGAATGCACGAGTAAAAAAATCACAAATCAACGAGCAACGATCAACTTGAATAAAAGTTTGTTTGTGCGAAAAAATATTATAGGTTCAAATGAAGTTCCAATAAAATCCATTGAACAAATAATTAGCGAAAACATTATAAAAACAGAATAAGAAAAAGAAAAAAGGAAATAAAAAAGCGATGGCCGAACTATCCAAATTGTCTCCCACATTTGAACTTTGGCTCGCCGCCAAATAGCTGCGTCGCACACGCAACACCTCGCCCTTGCCAACCAGCCCATATCACCTTTCAAGTCGGGAAACATTGACTATATCGTTTGGCTAAATGACTTGGCTTGGCCGCCAAGCCAAAGGCTGCCTTCCCAATCCTCCACCTCTGGAAAGAATTATATAGGTCGCAAAAATTCTGACCCCTAAAGGGATCATCCAGATATTCCTCAATGTTGCAAGGGAATTAGGATGCGGTAAAATAATTTGAAGTCACGGATAGTAGATTTGTAAATAAGTGGAAATTATTACCATTTCGAAGTTGTAGAGCAGCGCAGGACACGTTTCTGGCACATTTTTGACTTTGAGATAGACCGTGTTCTGTGGTCCAAAGAGGTCTGCGAATGGTCGCTTACTTGGCAAAATTTGGCCATTGTTATCAGCAGCTATAATGAGAAACTTCCTCGAAGTACTCATCGTCAGATAGCCCTGTCAGCGCGATTTTTAGAATTGCAGTGAGAATAAGATGGGCAGAACAACTTTTTTTTTTCAGGCGAATTGTCAAAAAACCACTCTTTTTGGCCCAAAAGTGTCTTCAACCTGAATTTTTAAGCGGATTATAGCCTGTGTACCACGACTTGGAATTTCACCAAACGACATTCCGCTGCGCGCCTTTGCGAACCTTGGTCGTGCTTTTTAATCTTTTTATTAAGGCACTCTGTTTTCATGTGCTCCCACAGCAATAGCAATAAATTGAAAGCGTGAATTAGATCCGAAAGACGCTTCGCAAACATACGCAGCAGAACAGCGGAATGTCGTTCGGTGATTTTCAAATCGTGGCACACAGACTCTAGCAAACTGAATTCTCGAAAAAATACTGTTATAGTCTGTGCGCCACGACTTGAAATTTCACCGAACGACATTCCGCTGTCACGCTGCGTCGCGAAGCGTCATTGCGAGCCTCGGTCTCGCTTTAAAGTTTCTAATTTCTGATAAATGGACTGTTCCACTAGGACCACGTGTTAGTCGAGTTCTTAAATAAAATGAAAAATTAATGGCGCGCGAAGGCACGCAGCGGAACAGCGGAATGTCGTTCGGTGAAATTCCAAGACGCGGTACACAGACTATAACAAGTGTAACTGTACTGTGGTTTCACACCAAATTATTTTTTGAGAAGTACAGAAACATCGTGTTAAAAAAGGTCTCATCTTCAGAAATTATCCGTCCTTTTTTTCGTATTGCTTTGCCGTCTATGCTTTCGAAAAAAAAAATTCCAAAACGAAATCACCGTACAATCCGCTCTCTGATCACATTCACTCTTTAACTGGTTTTCGCTGGCCCTTTCCGTTCCTATAACCGTGGTCGAGGAGGCGTAGAATTTTACGTAGTTGCAACCTGGATTATCACTTTTTCCTGTTGGAAACTGAGAACTTTCTAACCGTCGCAAAGAAAAATGACGGAAAAGAGGAGAAGCAATGGTCGGAGCATTTCGAATCGGGAAATGAAAAGGAAATGTAAGGGTAGGGTTGCTGTGTAAGGCATTCGTTATAACTCACTATTCGGCTCCCATTTCTCAATGTTTTCAAGTATGTCTATTGAGAAACTGAGCAAGATCGACGGCCTAGACTTGTACTTTTCTGAGAAAAATTGCTGTTGGGCGAGGTTTTTTTTAAAGTTTTAGAGGGGGACGTCTCCTAATGAGCCGTTCGAAGATGCATAGAGAAAAAAAACCAAGAAAAGGTCTAAAAAAACGGAGGTTTCATAGAACAACGCCTGTATGGAGATGAACTGTTTGAAACTGTTTAATGCATCTTAAATGTAAGAATACATGTGCAACCGACTTTCATTGAGTTAACTGTGTTCAAACGGCGGCAGGAGCTGCGGCTTAGGCAGAGAAGTTGTGAACATTAGGTACAAGAGAGGTCGTAGGAAGAAGTACGGTGCCGGCTTTCCGAAGGTCGATGGCAAATATTGAGCCTTTTCGCTGTATGCAGCTCCCAATTTTATCTACCCGGACCGATGAAAGACTTGGTCGACCTCGGGGGGCCTCGAACCTACAACCTCGCGGACGTTAGAAATGAGTCTTTACCAGCTGAGCTATGCCGCTCCTTGGAGGAACAGTTTTTAAACTTACAGTCAAGTTTCTCTCCTTTTTCAAGCTTTTGTACTGCTTGAACGGCCTCTACGGCCCCATCCTGATATCAGTGATAATCAGTGGGTTGACTTTAGTTACCCCCGTCCTTATTTGTGACGCCTGCGGTTGTGAATTCGTGATATCTCACTACCAATATTTCCTGATTCCCTTGCCTTCGAGGATCGATCTTATGACCCTCCGGACCATAGACAGGCACTCAACCTATTGAGCTACAGCGTCGGAGGTTATTTCAGTTGGAATAAACCTGAACTACGAAAAAAATTTTCGTTAAAGAAGATCACTTTTTGGGTTCACAAAGGTCACGTTTCAATTGAAAACATGCCGAGTCGCCATAAAAGGCTTCTTCAGGAATTATCGAGTCAGTATTTTTGCAAGAAATATTACTCAGGAATTGTTCTCCACTCGGCCTGTTTTGCTTGTTAAGAAGCTTCGGATTAAAAAGCAGAGAAAGTCGCACAGAAGCCTTTAGGCAGTTTTGGGCGTTTTGCTCACAAAGGAGGTCACTTCACACTGTGGCTAAGAATTTCCTGAAGGATTTCTTCTTGATATACCCGATTGATACAGTAGAAGTGGGCAATTTATGTAAGGCTTGTTTTTTTTTTTCGAATAGTAACACGGGGTAACGATGAATCAACTGGAGGCTCTCAAAAAATATGGAAAGAAAAGTCATTTTGGCCCTTAAACATCGCAAAAGTCACAAAATTTCGGAGGCAAATTCTCACTAAGCCATTCCAAATCCAACAAAGGAAAGAAGGGATACATTGGAAACTTCCGTAGCTCTTGTCCCAATCTTCCTGAGATGCTTAATAATCATACTTATTCCAACATTGATCTCTTTATCGATACATTTCTGATGATAGGTAAGCGGCAACCCAAAAATTACTTTGGCGTGCGTAACAGTCGGCGCAAAACGGTTACGCCGGGCAAGAAATCTCTCGGCATCAAGCTAATGGTGTCGTGAGAAGCATCCTTAATTGCTAGAATTATTCAAATTTATTCCGATATCATTCAAGCGAGAACACAAATTTTCGAAAAAAAAAATTTTAAGTTGCGGCGGATGGACTATAAATGAATTTTGATACATTATTGTCAGTAAAGTCGGAAACAATGATATGAACTAATTTTCCCCTCAGCAGATTCTTTATTAGCCGTTAGTCTGCAGATTCTTTCACTTATACTTCTTTATTTTTCAACTCATCTACTCAGCAGGGCGGGGCGTCTCGGGTCGCCCCGGGGCATCAGGAGCTTTGTCAAAACCCACCAAAAACCACCAGAACCAGCCATCCATGACCATATCCGAGTCTCTCCTGCTTCCTCGTCATAGTACGGTTCGCTCAAGTTCTGTGCAAAAATATCAGGAGAAAAGCAGTTTTTGGTGAAATTGATACCATTTCGAGGTCGTAGATCGAGGCGGGACAGTTTTCTGGAGTCGTTGAGGTTTTCATAAATAAAACAGCTGCGAATTCAGTTTGCGGCGAGATAGTAATCCCTGTTCTTTTTGCGACGATGATATAATTTTTCGAATCTGCCTCAACAAAATAACCCTGTAAAAATTCCAATGTGACGGTTGGGCTTTGCATTTTGAAGCTTTCTTGTAGAAATTTTCTAGACAAGCGAATTGAGTATCGCGTCACTCCCGAGGTTGATTAAAGGGACAGAAATCCCACGATGGTATCACGAGAACGCCTCTGAGGACTTTGACCATAATAAGATAGACTTGAGAGGCTCTCAAGTACCTCTGATAAAGCTCAGATATAGCTAAAAGGCATAATGGAGGTATCATGATAGACATATTATATTCAAGATCCCTTCAAGAGATGGTAGTGCGATATGGAAGGTAAAAATGAAAGCCTAATGAAAGACTAAAGGTCCTAATTGCGAATATCAAAAAGAGTCGTCGATTATTGCGCGGGGTACGCAAACAACGGATCCTACGCCCGACGGTAAAAATTGGGAAGGACATCTTTGCGCCGGACTCCGGTGCTCATTTTCTTTGCTTTTTTGTCATTTTTTTTGTTTAATTCGTCTTTCTGATCAGTTATACAACATTTTGACTATAACAAGAAATGAAATGGTCTTCAGACCTTTTGTCGAACGAGAAAAAAATTTTTTTTTAATTAGTGTAAGTAAACAGTTATACAACTAAATTTGCAATTTTCTGGATGAATCGACCCGCAAGAGTGAAAAAAAAGAAAAAAAATCATGATCCCACAAAAGTTTTTTAACATTCGAAAAAATTTCTTCAATGTTTTCAAGTTCAACAGTCAAAGTCAAAATATGGTATTATTCATCAAAAAAATTAATGAAACAAAAAAAATGACGAAAAAAGCAAAGAATATGAGCGCCGGAGTCCGGCGCAAAGATGTCCTTCTCAATTTTTACCGTCGCGCGTAGGATTCGTTGCTTGCGTACCCGGCGCAATAATCACGATTCTTTTTGATATTCGTAATCAGGACCCGCTTTAATTCTTACCTTCCATATCGCACTACCATCCTTCAAGAGGTATACACATACTATACACGCGGACATAATGATAGCAGGTAGGAATTTCGGGTCCGCGAATATCCGTAAGCGTGAATTGTACATACACCAATCTTGGGGGCTCGAATCTTCGAAAATTTAGGTTTTGGAAAACGATTCTTAATTTGCTTGTGCATGTTTTTCTTTCAAGTACGAAAAAAATCACGACGCAATCCACCCGGCTGTCACAGGTACTCTTGGACTCCTCTTCGCTGGTTGTTTCGACTTTTGTACCGATGTCTATAGTGGCGTATGTTTTCGCGTAGTAAGAGCCTGGATCCACACTTTTTTCTCGTTTTGAAAAACGGAATATTGGCTAACCGTGGCATAGAAAAATAAAAGAAAGGAGAAGCAGCGAAATTCGGAGCATTTCGAACCGGAAAATAAAAAGAAAATGTTTGAAATCGGTTGCTGTGGAAGTTTTTGCTATAAATCACTATTTGGCTACCATTTTTCAAAGTTTTCCAGTGTTTTCATTGAGAAATTTAGCATGAAGGGAGGGTAAATCTCTTTTTTCGCAAAAAAGGCTGTTTCGTTCAAAAAAACTTCGAATAGTCCATAATTTTTTTGAATTTTCAAGAACTAAATATTTCCTAGAAACCCGTCGAGAGGAACCAAACCCGTGGCATTTCAATTTTTTTTCTCAGTTTTGAGCCACGACTTAGTTTGACAAATAAAAAAATCAGTTTATTAATATTTCAAATAAATCTTTAATATGTACAACGGCACTAAGAAGAATAAAATCAACTACAAGATAACTGACCTGGAATAAAGCGAGGAGCCGTAATAAAAAATCGAAGTACATGTTCTTCACTAGTCAAATATTAAAAAACTGAACGAAGATTGAACGAAAATCGGCTAGAAGAAAATTGATGATCAAGTCCACGGGATGAAGAAAATAACTTGAAGGTTCATTAGTTATTTTTTCACGAGTATTATAATAGTATAGATAAATAAATAATAATGATGAAGTTGATGTATTGAAAAAAATTCTAAATCTGGTTCTTGAGAGACCGTCATGAAATGATCAGAACACATGTTAATCGGGATTTTATAAGGGGTCAAATACCTTGAAGCTGAAGGAGGTGCAATCAAATAAGGTGTTCAATGATATTGAAAACAAATATTATACAATTGTTCAAAACGAATTTTTTCAGAATCAGGAACCTGGGTGACGCGTATTGAAGTCTACCCACGTTAAATTTGAGCTCTCAATTGTGCTGAAAACGGCACAAAGCTTCAGTGAGGCGAAGGCACTCATAACGAACTTTATGCGCCTTTTTCAGGACCTCTCTGACAATTTGCTGGCCGGTCCGTTGGTGAAGAAGGGCCAGGTCTACGATTTCCTTCTCCACGACTGCCAGGTCGTCGTCCAACGTTGTTAGGATCTTCTGGACGATTTTCTGGAAAAGATTTCAACGTCTTCAAGCAGTTCAAGTGGGTTAAAAGACTATTTGAATTCTTCAGAAATTTTTAATGGTCTCAAAATTGAACTAATTTCTGTTTGAAAAACCTTCGGAATATTTAGAGACTTCTAAGAAACTTGTAGACAAAATTAAAGTTATTCGGGAGGCTATTACAAGCTATAAAGGTCTTTGAAGTGTTACTAAATGATTCGGTAGTTGGCGGTGATTGGGTTGAGCAAATATTAATCAAAAAAGAAAGCTCACGATCATATATCGGGCGTCGGTACTCGTGAAGTTATTGCCTCTCATCTTGTGCGTTAGGTCGAACTGAAAAGAAACTTTCATTCTGGAAATTTCGTTCAAAACTCACGTAGAAGACAAATTTATCGAAGTCGGCTTGAACACGGTCGCCGCACGTCTTCAGAATCTGAAGTCGTGCGGTCCATTGCTCTTGAAGGCGGGCCTTCTCGACGATCTTGGTGACAATGGCGGCGATGTCGATCGGGGCGTTCATCTTGAGTACGGGCGTTCGGAAAAAAAGGCGAGACGATCTAGAGGATTGGATAAAGTCGGGTGGTCCAATTAACGGAGAGCTCCTATTTATACTGATCTGTAGGCTCCGCCTCTAATTAAGTTCGCAGGCCGGAGGACCGAAGGAAGTGCGAAAAATGTGCGATGTCAGGTGTCAGTTGTGATGTGTTTACGGTGTTTTTTTTCTACAGTAAGCGAATTGAATTTTTTTTTCAATGAAATTTTCCAACTCCAACAATGGATAGAAGGAATACACCGGAAACTTCTGTAACTCTTGTCCAAATCTTCCCGATATGCTTGAAAATCAGACTTATTCCAACAGGAATCATTTTATCGATACATTTCGATAACATTTCTTGATGATCAAGCGGCAACACAATAACCACTTTGGGGTACGTAACCGTCGGCACAAAACGGTTCGGTCGGGCAAGAAAGCTTTTGGCCGCAAACTGTTCCTTTCTCGAGAATATTCCTTAATTGCTAGCATTATTCAAATTTATTTCGGTATCATCCAAGCGAGAACACGAATTTTGAAAAATAGTTGTAGTCCATAGTCCATATACCGCGATTAAAAAAAATTATAAAGATTTTAAGTGTCTGCGTCTGTATGTTCCCTCAACGGCGAGGTCAGCGAAACGTGGAAGTAGCAAGTCGACATTAGAGCTCTGCCGAGAGACGTGGAGGGCGCAGAGAAGCCTCGTTTGTAGTCCATTCTTTGCGACTCAAAACGGCTTCTCTACCAACTCCTTTCTTATTGAAGTGCAACTTTCATGTTTCCCTCATCTCGTCGGAGAGAAGACAGAGAGACGCAGACACTCGAAAAATGTCAAATTGCAACGAATGGACTATAACTGAATATTGGTACATGACCGTCAATAGTTTTTTTGCTCACAATTTATTTGTATGAAGTTCAATCTTTTTGAAAATCTATAGAGCTGTTTTTAAGTAATCTGAAATCCGACTCCGAATAAAGGTCATCACAACTTCAGAAGGCTTCAGAAAGATTAAAAATCGTAAAATAAGCACTTTTTTGTCTTTTTTTGACGGAATCATTTGCATCGATTTTGCCTTGGTTTCAGTCTCAAAACCGACTCTATTCGACTCGAATTAGAAAACGGCATCCATATCCATCGCCAATTCGTTCCGTGCAGTCCGCATGATGTTTCGTCGTCACAGTGCCATTCGCTCCAATCCTGCACGAAATTATCAGGAAAACAGCAGTTTTCGATGAAAATAATACCGTTTCGAGGTTGTAGATAGACCCGGGACATTTTTCTGGAGCCGTTTTGATTTTTAAAAATATATAACCTGCTTCTCCAGGTATTGGCCAGTAAGTTATCGTGGTTCCATTCGCGACCATGATGTAACTTTTCGAGTCTGTCTCAACAAAATAACCCTGTAAAAATTCCAATGTGACGGTTGGGCTTTGCAATTCGAAGCTTTCTTTTAGAAATTGTTTACACAAGCGAATTGAGTGAAACTATCGCGATAATGAAGGTGTAACAAAAACTCTGAAGTCGAACGATGGTATCACGAGAATGCCTTTGAGGACTTTGGCCATAATGAGATAGACTTGAGGTAGGCTCTCGTATCTCTGATAAGGCTCAGATAGCGCTAACAAGGAAGGTCATTTTACTTTGCGGTTTGGGAATTCCCTGAAAACTGGCCAGAACACTTCTTGATGTACTAGAAAAAGGTCCTGAAAGCTTCAAACTGCAAAACTTGAAAAAAAAAGAAATATCAAGAGCCGTTAAAATAGGTCATTTTGAGGCTTCAAGCCTTTATTTCTCGAAAACTAGAAAGTTTTCCAGGTTGAGACTTTCAGATTCTTCTTCTGGTACATCAAAGAGTATTCTGGCCAAAGTTCAGGAAACTCCCAACCGCCAAGTAAAATGACCTCCCAAGTAAAAGGCATACTGGAGGTCTCATGGTGTACATATGTATTATGGCATATTCAAGATCCCTCTTAAGAGATATATACTAGAGTTCACCAAAGCGATCGTTCAATCAATATTTTCAAACGGTTAACAAGGATCCTGATTATGATCACTCATGTTTTCGAAATGTCGACATTTCATTTTGATGAGAGATCATTTTGAACGGATCATTCACTTTTCTATCGATCAATTGTATCAGGTTGTCCAATGATTTTTGTCCGAAAATCTTCAAAGTTCTATAATTTACCTTAGAAGTGTTATAATATCAGGCAAGTGTAAGAAACTTCTAGAAGGTTCTCCAAAGTTTCACCCTACGGGTATATAAAGGCGCAGTCGCCGCGTCCAGCTACCAGTGCAAGCTAAAATGGACCAAGGTCAAATTCGTACGTTCATGTACTACGAGTGGCTGCTGGGCAACGACAAAGGCACCACGGTCGCCAAAATCTGCAGAGCGTGAATCCGTCGCTGTATCAAGGAGAAGCCGGCAGCCACCACCCGTGAACGGACGACGACGTTTGGCTGCAGCAAGTCCATTATCTACAATCGCCTCAACTTACTTGGCTACCTTAATGTTCTGGTTCGATGTGTAAAGGAATCAAAGGCTTTACTTATATCCAGATAAATTACGTCAACCCAATACTGAGAACCCTTCTTACACAATAAATGGCTCAAAAGTTCCAACAGATGTATTCATCAGAGATCTGGGCGTGCATTTCAGTTCTAATTTGAAAATGAGTGGCCACGTAAATGTTATTGTGAAAAAATGCATGAAAATCGTGGATAATCTTTTTAGATGTTTACCTTCTCGCACACTAACTTCATGAACTGCTACAAGTTGAAGATTTTACCTGTTCTTGAATATGGGTCAGAACTTTTCTGTCCTCTAACAAGAACAGATATCGATAGATTGGAATCAGTTCAAAGGAAGTTTACTAAAAGACTTTTCCCTAAAAATGAATTACAAAGAAAGACTTCAACGTCTCGGACTAAACACCCTTTGGCAAAGACGTTTAAAAAAAGACATAACTGCTGCTCATAGTTTCATCTACGGATACTATTGGTGCCCATCTCCAATCCCTTTACAAAATACAACAAGTAGATCGAATCAACTGCGAGGAAATGGTCTCAAAATAGAGCGGCCTCTACTTTCTGACATACACTACCGGTTCATCAATCAAAGAGTTTACAATCATTGGAATCATATGGATAGAGACATAGTGTTTGAGTATGAAAAAAATAAGTTCAGATCTAAACTTGAGAAATGGTTTGAAAACAACATTACAGAACTAAACACTCTTGATCCAACAAAAATATGAAAGCTACATAATCGACATCTAAAAGAATAACTTCATGGTTATTCCAATTTACTCAAGTGGGGGGTTAACACGACCGCGAGTCCTCTTCCCTCCATCACCACAAGTTCCGACACATATGTTCCCAAACTCTCCCTACATCTATTTCGTGAAATTTAGTTTTTGTGTGTGAGAGATAAAACATTTTTGAATTTTTTTTTTTTGATTTAAAAAACCCTAGTATAACACAAACTCTGCACGCGGACACATTGATGGTAGGGGACAATTTTGGGTCTGCGAATATTCGTGAACGTGAATTGTACGTACACCAATCTTGGGGGCTCAAATCTTTGAAAATTGGAAATTTGGAAAACGATTCTTGTGAATATCCAGCTCTTTTTTGATTTTTTATCTTTTTTGTGCATTTTTTTTCTTTGTTGTTTTATTGTGAGGATTTTGTGTTTCGACTAAAAATTGAATCTGTATGATTTTTTTTTTCAAAATTGCGCTTTCATCGCATAAACGACGTCAAAGATTTACTGCAGAACTTCTATAACACTTGTATTCCTTCTCTATGCATTCTCCATCAAATTCTGTTTTTCAAAAAAATTTGGAAAAATTTATAAAAAACCAAAAAAATGTAAGTAATTCCGAAAAATCGTTTTCCGGGATTCAAATTTTCAAAGATTCGAGCCCCCAAAAAGTGGTATATGCACAATACAAGCTCATAAATAATCGCGCACCTAAAATTTCTTCCTGCCATCGACACTTTATAGTACAATCCCGATTCGCTTGTGCATTTGTTTTCCCTTGAGTGAAGAAAAAAGAAATCACGGGGCAATCCACCCGGCTGTCACAGGTACTCTTGGACTCCTCTCCGCCGGTTGTTTCGACGAATGTCCCGGCCAACCAGCCGGTGGTTCTCACGTAATTACAGCCTGCGTTCTCACTTTTTTTTTTTGTAAACCCAAATTTTGGCAAACCGTGGCATAGAAAATTGAAGGAAAGGAGAAGCAGCGAAGTTCGGAGCATTTCGAACCAAAAAAATGGAAAGAAAATGTAAGGGTTTGGTTGCTTTGCTGTTGCTGTGGAAGGTTTTTGCTATAAATCACTATTTGGCTACCATTTTTCAAAGTTTTAGAGTTTGTCCATTGAGAAATTGAACAAGGAGAAACGGAATATCTACTCGTCCCCTGAAAAATCGTCCAACTTTGTTAGGATCTTCTGGGCGATGTTCTGGAGAAGATTTCTTCAAGAAGTTCAAGTGGGTTCATAGACTATTTGACTTCTTCTGAAATTTTTAATGGTCTTAAAGTTGAACTAATTTCTGTTTGAAAAACCTTCGGAATATTTAGAGACTTCTAAGAAACTTTTAGATAAAATTAAAGTTATTTGGGCGGCTATTAAAAGCTATAAAGATCTTCGAAATGTTACTAAACGATTCGGGAATTGGCGGTTCTTGGGTTGAAAAAATATAAATCAAAAAAGAATTCTCACGATCATATATCGGGCGTCGGTACTCGTGAAGTTATTGCCTCTCATCTTGTGCGTTAGGTCGAACTGAAAAGAAACTTTCATTCTGGAAACTTCGTTCAAAACTCACGTAGAAGACCAATTTATCGAAGTCGGCTTGAACACGGTCGCCGCACGTCTTCAGAATCTGAAGTCGTGCGTTCCATTAATTTGAAGGCGGGCCTTCTCGACGATCTTGGTGACAATGGCGGCGAAGTCCATCTTGGCGTTCATCTTGAGTACGAGCGCTTGAAAAGAAAGGCGAGACGATCCAGAAGATTGGATAAAGTCGGGTGGTCCAATTAACGGAGCGCTCTTATTTATACTGATCTGTAGGTTCCGCCCTCTAATTAAGTTCTCATGCCGGAGGGCCGAAGGAAGCGCGAAAAATGTGCGAAGTCGCGCTTTAGACGGCGCCTTTCCTGGAAGGTTTCTCAGGAGTCAATTGTGATAAATAATTAGAAAAAAAGGTGATAGATCATTGTTCGACAGTTGAGTCGAAGTGATGAGGGGGAAGGAGCAGAAAAAAACTTTGGGAATTTCACACTTTCTCGACGTTTGACAAACCTCTCCATTGGCACAAAAATTTGATTTTTTTAAAATTATAAATAGTAAAAAAAGCCTCATAAATGTTCAGTATCTTTCAAAAATTATAACTTAGGCTAAAGACCGAGAAGCCACGCTCTTTTTTGCGATGGTGAAATGCACTGGTTTTTCAGATTTCGTGTTCTTTGTTTTCATACAAACGCAATACTGAACCGAAAACAGAGAAACTTAGTGGAAACATAGAGAAAACCTTCCTCTTCAATCTCATATACCTTTCCCCCGATTTTTGAAGCGTTTTAGCGGAGTGTCGTACAAAAAACCAAAACTACTTTTTTTCTTCGGCTTTTTTACCTAGTTCCATATCGTTGGCGCCTTTTTTTTCGAACTTGATTTTTATGTGAAAAACAAATCTTTCAAGACAAAAAAATTAAACTTCTTACGATGCTTAATCTTCGTGAGGCCGCGCAAATTTGAAAATTTTGTACTCGGTTCCGAGAGCGTGTAAGTAAAAAATTTTTATTTCAACTTGTGGATCTCAGATTACAAAAAATTCACACGAAAACCCAATTCTTTTAGTTTGTTTTTCCTGATTATTTTCAAATGGCGTCGCAAAATCCGTCTTTGAGTTCGAAGCCGTCGCGGCATTCCGGTGAGTTCGGACAAGGTTGAGTTGTCCCACAAGGCGTCGGGTCCTCCTTAGTGATGACCCTCAAAAAATTATTTTTTTTTCTGGAAATACTAACTTTTTCCAAAACTTCCGAAATGAATCATTTACTCCACGTGAATGATCAAAAACGCCCTTTTTTCATTTTAAAAAATGTCTAGCATTCTTGGATGTACTCGGACATTGGTAACGCGAAACGGACGTGCTCCGGACGTTTCTGGGCGATTCAAGGGATCACTTAAGAGCGTTAAGGCTACTAAAGTGGTCACTAGAAATGCCCCGACACGTCCGATTCGCGTCCCGTTCGCGTTACCAAGGTCCGAGTATGAAAAAAAGGCCAAATGAGCAAAGAGGTTTTGCAAAACTATGTGACGACTTTTTCAAAAGTACGCTCCACGGGACAAAGTCGGCAAATTTAAGAAAAAAAAAAGAAGTTTTCCACACGAACCTACACTAAGAATAACTGACAAGATAAATGCGAGCTCGGTGGCGGTACATTGACTAACTCGCAAAAATGTCGCTTTTTTCTAGGCGCGATCCAGCATTTCTCTCGGCGCGACCTCGCATTTTTCACGACGCCATCTCGCATTTATCTTGCATTTCGGAAATTTTCAAATTGCGAGAGAAATGCGAGCTCGCGCCTAGAAAAATGCGAGCTCGCGCCCAGAAAAATGCGAGACCGGCGCGAGAAAAAAAGCGAGATGTTTGCGAGCTCGTCAATGTACCGCCAGTGTCTCGCGTTTATCTCGGCAGTTATTCTTAGTGTATTCTCATTGCAAATTTCGTGGAGGTTTTCGAAACTTTTTTTTCCAAATTCGAAACTATTTTCGAAATTCGATTTCCAATTCTAGAATATTATTTTTCCAAGAGCGCCGTTCAAATTGGGGCCGGTCCGCAATACGCCGTCGCGTGTATGCAGACATCATTTTTTTTTCTACGCCGTTTTTTTTCTATCGTTGTTCAAAAATCGTGTACTAGTTCATCATCCGAAAAATTTTCGCGCCTTTTGGTAGATTCCGGAGAAAGGCAGAAAAATCGGTCACTCTAGGGAACCTTTAATCTTTTTCTGTTCCTTTCCCAGAGCCTAAACCCCTATAAAGACCACCTAAATATAGCTCTCCAGGGAGCATATTTTTTTGCTAGCATCTCTAGGGACCACTCTTTCGCTCCAAGAAAAATGACGCGCGAAAAAAAAAATGGAGTCTGCATACACGTTACGTACACGCGACGGCATATTGCGGACCGGGACAAAGTTTGGACGGAGCTCTTGTAATCGGCGGCCTTGTCCTCTTCTTTTTGAGATTGGAGGTTCTCAGATGTATATTGAGATCCTACCAATAGCTCGATTGATCATACGTCCACTTCCAGCGACAAGAGGTACCGAACATTCCGCACCTCTTTTTTCCACAACAAGTCCATTCGCTCCACGTCTGAGCAAGAAAAATGATGAAGAAATTGATTAGCAAGAAACATTCTTTACAATACCATTTCGATGTCGTAGATCATTTCTGGACATGTTGTTAGAGATTTTCCGATTTTCAGAAATACGATTGATTTATTATTGGCGTTCCTGACGAGCTCATTCCGGTCGAGCATTTGAAAAACAAGTACAGGATTCTCATTGAACAAGAAGAAAAAGTTTTCCGACCTTTGGGTTGTTGAGTAGCCCTGTAAACATTTTTTCTCTTTGAAAGCTGGGTTTTTTTTTTTTTGAACGCCAGAGTGGTCCCTATAGTGGCTTGATATCTAGCCCCCCTTAAAGCTTAAGAGGTCCCTATAGAAGTCTTCTGGATAGTTCAAAGTACTTATTTAATAAAAATTGAACGATTGATCCTCTATCGATATTTTTCATTCGAAAAACGCCATTCGCATGAAAATGCTTCATATAGGTGAACATGCATGATACCCTAGAGTGGCCACTAACTGAAACCCCTATAGAGGCCTCTTTTGGAACGTTTAGTGTTCTAAACCACTTTACCTTTTTTCAACCAACCCGAAGGCCCTCTAGGGACCACTCTGTCGCTCCAAAGAAGGTCACATTTTCAGATATTTTGTCCGTTTCCGCTAGATTATTTTTTATTGGATATTATGTAAAGGAAACTTGGATCCACTCAAAACAGTAAATCGGTCGAAGAGATTTTATTTTTCGTTTGTGAAATTATACATTTTTTTAAAATTCTCATGAGGTGTAGCTCAAAAAAGAGTCTTTTCTGCTCTATCAAAGATGTGAAAAGAATTTCGCTCAGAAACTTCGAAAAAAGTCTTACTGAGCAGTCTCTGTACATATCGCATTTTTGTTTCGAATCTTCCTCACTCGCCGTTGCCGGGTAATCTGGTACATTTATCGTGTCGTAGGCGAAGAGTTTCGCGTAGGTATAGCCTGGATTATGGATATTATTTTTTGACTTCAAATAAAATATTTTTGCTGACCGTTACAAAAAGGAGTAAAGGAAAGGAGAAGCAGCGAAATTCGGAGCATTTCGAACTGAAAAATGCAAGGTTTTGGTTGCTGTGGAAGTTCTTTTTGTTATGAATCACTATTTGGCTCCCATTTCTCAAAGTTTTATGTCTAGTAGTTACACAATGGTTTTCATAATATTTTACTTCGAAAAGACTTTTAAAATAAATCTATATGTGCTTTGAAAATAAATTTTTTTTTTTGCCTTTTCAAGATTTTTTCTCTATAGTCCGTCCACCACGACTTGAGGGTTTTCTCTCTGTTCTCTCGCCGGGGAGGTCAGAGAAACATGAAAATAGCACGTCATCTCGAGATGGTCGCTGAGAGACGAGGAGGGTGCAGAGAAATCCTTTCAAACCCACAAGAAATGGACTATACATATGTTTATTTTGTGGGAGCTAGAATTTATGTCTTTTTGAAGTTTTTAGTTTTCTAGAGAAAATGTAACGAGTTTCACGCCTCGCAAAATGAACTATTTCTCTAAATAGTCAGTTTTGGTTGTGAGCCGCCCGTGGCTACAGTATCTTTCGCTTCGATGTTTTATTGACGATGATCCTTTAATAGCGCTGCATTTAAGGATTTTTTTTGAAGCTGTTTGATTAAAAAACATTGAACACAGTAGCGCTATTAAAGGATCATAGAAGCTTTCGCGATAAGTGATCGACACGAAAAGGTACTGTAGGGCGGAGACGCGGCTTTACGGCGGGGAGCTCTTAGCCAAATGCGAGCCCCCTTCTCTTTTTTTTCTTCTTTGAGTTCCTCGCAAAAAGCCGCGACGCATGCGCAACGCTTCACTCTGCCAATCTGTAATTAATCCTTCCCGACTTGAAAGGAGAGATAGATAGATTGGCAGGGGTGACGCGTTGCGTACGCGACGCGGCTTCTCCGTGGGGAGCTCAGAGTCAAATGCGAGTCCCCTTTTTTTCTTCCTCGAGTTCCGCGCGAAAAGCCGCGACGCATACGCAACGCTTCCCTCTAGCCAACCCACCCATCTCGCATTTCAAATCAGAAAAAATAGACTAATACTTGACGAAAAAAAGGTTGCGTGACGTGACCTTGATCGTGTAGGTCAAACGGTGAAAACCGGATGGCATTTCACCGCGAAAAGAGCCGCAAATCGCGTCGGCTTCTGATCTTTTCTGGGCCCAATCTCGCTCCCTCGAAGCACCGAAAATGATCCCGCTCCTGCTGTTGATGCTCTTCTCCGTCGGCCTCGTTGAAGCCGCCTACGATCCCGAATCTTTCCCGGTTCAGTTTTCGTCTTGGGGAATTTCCAGTTTGAAACTTCGGGTTGTAAAGTCTGTACAGATTTCGAATGTCAATTTCTCAAGCTCCGCCCCTGAAGGCGCGATGAACCAATCAGAGAGCGTTTCCTAATGAAGTCATTGTACTTTACATTCCAAATCTGGACAGGCTAGTAGTATGAGCAATACTGAGAAATACTGAGCAATATCGACCCTCTTTCGTACGATTTTTTTCGTAATTCAGCCCTTTCCCATTATGTTGCCCCAAGTTTCGAACTAGTACCGATTATAAGAAAAATCTTTCCTAAATTGCCTAGGCGATAGAATTTTAATAAATGTGAAACAAAGAAGGTTTCAAGAGCCAATAGGATGTGAGCCATATGAACAATAATTTCTATCGAAAAATCAAAATTTGTGATTTTTTCCTGGCGTTCCACCATATGAGACGGGTCAGCCCCGGGAAGACCCGAAGCGGACACACTTGTGCGTCTGATGACCCGGGCTCGGGCCTGCCCGGTCATGGAATGTTATAACTCCACTCAAAAAATGTTTGCAAAAAAAAAAAAGAAATCTTGATGTTGATTTCTCAGTGAAAAAAGAGCCGAAAACTTGATTTTTGTCCCAAAAAATCCTGACATTCGTCGTGCTTTCGTGCCGGGCCTGCCCTATTTGCTTGAAGCCCCGCTAAGGCCCCGGGCCAGCCCTCGTCCAAGCCTGGTGCCATCGTCTAAAGATCCATTTTTTCACTAGCTTGTATCCCACTCATTTACATCATTGCCGATCGGGCCAGCCCGGGGCGATTGCTTCAAATTACGGGTCCTCGTTGATATTTCTGTGTTAAACGATTTTTAGCAGGAATAATCAAAGAAATGAGTGAATATTGATTTTTTTTTTTGAAGATTGTCGTGGCGTACCACGAGAGGGAAGGCCATCGTTACATGATCGAGACGGACATGAGAGACGGAAAAGTTCTTTTCACCGGCATCACCGTCGGGTTCGCCTTTTTTTGCTTTAAAGATCGAAATTTCATCAAAAGAGTACTAAAATGTTAGAAATTTCACGAAAAAATGATTTTCGGATGATTTTTGCTTCATCTTAAGAGTTTGAGAAAATTGAGAAAACCTGATTTTTAGGTCAGAAAACGGCACAGAAAAGCTCCAAAAACTTCAAATTTTGAATGCGAAATGTGGCTTGATGAAAAATTTCCGGCGGTCACTTTAGGGCAATGGAATAAGGAAAATGGGGCCTTCTGGCGCCCTGAAGTTGGAAATTTACAGGAAACAGAGGCTTTTGGCATTTTTTAGGCCGTCACTGTAATGAGAAGAAAGCGAACTTTTCACCATGTAGTTTGAAATCGGGAGGCCCTAGAGGGCCCTCATTGCATTCTGGGCCAAATTCGGATTTTGAGATTTTTCCCATTGTTTTTTATAGCTTTGGAGCTTTTCTTCAATGTTTTCTAGCTTTTTGAAGCTCCGAAATTTGAGTTTTTCTATTTTCTTGATAAAAACCTTGAATAGAAAAAAGTTCGGTATCGTCAGAAATTTAGCGAAAAAATTCGGTTTTTTGTCGTTTTCAAGGCGTTATCACTTTTCTAAGAAGGCGCAATTTTCTTTCGGGAAAAGTCCTAAAATGCACTAATCGAAGTCAGGGCGGGACAAGTTTTGGCGAAATTTGCAATTCGAGACTTTTTTTTACTGAGCCTATCTATGCCCTGCCGATTTCTTCAAGAAAAGATTCCCAAATTTTATAGAATAACGTTCAACTCGGTGTCGTTTGGACAGTTGGACAGCAGCGACTGTACGGCCCTCTACAATGGACTCGACGCCTCGTACCGTTGCGACGGCTCCTTCTTCCTCCTTCACACGGATCACATGAAGTTTTATCCATTCTCAAGGAACAGGGCAACTGATGCAAAAGTGTTTAGTATGAAGCGCCAGATCGCTAACGAAGAAAGCGATGTCTGCAAGAGAATCGTCGAGTTTGGTGGCGACGCCGTCGGCCTTCTCAAGACGTGAGAATCACTTGAGTGGTCGCTTAGGCAATTCAAAGAAGATCACTTAGAAATAATCACTCTAGTGGTCGCTTAGACGGATCAAAATGAAAATTGTCACTGGAGGGCCCAAATCACTTTAGTAGACTCTCAGACGGTTCATAATAAACAATCCCTATTCAAAATGCCGAAAATCACTCTAGGGGGCGCTTAGGCGATCCGAAACAAGAAGTTTCTACTTAAAAGGCCAAAAATCACTTTAGTGATCGCTTAGGCGATTCAAAATAAAAAATGTGCTTGGAAGGCCGAAAATCCCTTCAGCGGGCCCTTAGATTATTAAAATCGAGGGTTCCCTCTCAATTAAGGGCCAAAAATCACTTTAGTGGTCGCGTAAACGGTGCAAAATGGAAAATTTTCACTTAATAGACCGTAAATCAGTTTAGTGATCGTTTAGACGATAAAAAATTATAAACTGCCCTTAAAGGTTCAAAATCATTCTAGTGGTCGCTTAGGCGATCTAAACGAGTCGTTTCCACCTAAAAAGACAAAAGTCACTTCAGTGGGCCCTTAGATTCTTCAAACCGAGAGTTCCCTTTCAAGTAAGGACCAAAAATCACTTTAGTGGTCGCTTAAACGCATGAAAATTGAAAGTGATCACTTAACAGGCCAAAAATCCCTTCAGTGGGCCTTTAGATTATTCAAAAAGGAGAATTCCTTATTAGGGCCAAAAATCACTCTAGGGGGCGCTTAGACGAATCAAAATGGAGAATGTTCACTTATAAGACCGTAAATCACTTTAGTGATCGCTTAGACGAATCAAAATCAAAAGTGGTCACTTAAAAAAATCACTTTAGTGATCTCTTGGGCGATTTAAAATAAAAAGTGCCCTTAAATGGCCAAAAATCACTCTAGTGGTCGCTTAGACAGATCAAAATGAAAATTGTCACTGGAGGGCCCAAATCACTTTAGTGGACTTTCAGACGGTTCATAATAAACAATCCCTGTTCAAAATGCCGAAAATCACTCTAGGGGGCGCTTAAACGAATCAAAATGAAAAATGTTCACTTATAAGACCGTAAATCACTTTAGTGGTCGCTTAGACGAATCAAAATCAAAAGTGGTCACTTAAAAGCACTTTAGTGATATCTTGGGCGATTTAAAATAAAAAGTGCCCTTAAATGGCCAAAAATCACTCTAGTGGTCGCTTAGACGGATCAAAATGAAAATTGTCACTGGAGGGCCCAAATCACTTTAGTAGACTCTCAGACGGTTCATAATAAACAATCCCTATTCAAAATGCCGAAAATCACTCTAGGGGGCGCTTAAACGAATCAAAATGAAAAATGTTCACTTATAAGACCGTAAACCACTTTAGTGGTCGCTTAGAGGATCCAAAAGCAAGAGTGCTCACTTAAAAAAACCACTATAGTGATCTCTTAAGCGATTTAAAATGAAAAATGTCATTGAAGGGCTCAAATCACTCTAGTGGTCGTTTAGACGCATGAAAATTGAAAGTGACCACTTAACAGCCCAAAAATCACTCTAGTGGACGCTTAGACGAATCAAAATGAAAAATTCCCTTCCAAAAGGAAAAAAAACGTAGTGCTCGCCGGCTCCAATAAGACGCGGGCACAGTTTCAAAATCACTTTAATGATTGATTCAAAATGAGAAGTGTCCACTTGAGAAGCCAAAAATCACTCTAGTGGTCGCTTAGGGATTTTACAACTGGCAGTGTTCAAAAATCCAACATGAAAACGTGAAAAATTGAAGAAAACTTGGATTTCATTCAAGAAAATGGCTTGAAATGAGAGAAAGGAAAAAATTGATTTTTTTCTTTCCCTAGGGGTGCTCGTAAGAACAAACTTGTCGGCACGTTCAACAAGGAGGACCATTCGTTCTACTACTACAACACCAACGTCAATCCCCCCGTCATGGTATCTTTGGCGTCTTTTGAATTTTTTCACGCTTTTTTCAAATTAGCAACGCTAGATTGGTCCCTACAGGGGTTAGGGAAAAGCAGCCCCTATAGAGCTCCCTAGAAGGCTCAAACTTTAAGTGGTCCCTACAGGGGTTTGAATCTTGAGCTTCTAAACCTTGAGTAGCCCCTGTAGGGTTTTTGCACATCTTTGAGTGGAAAAAAAAAGATGAAAAGGTCAAAATGAAGCGTGTGTCGATAATTATGACGCGGCTGAGGAACATCGGAATTTCTTGTTTTTGTGTGGCCTTTTTTCTGTCTTAAAAAAATTAACTGCGTAATTTTTCTTCTTAACTAGTTTAAAAACCTATAAATGAGGTAAATTTTTTTTAAAGTTGCCAAAAACTCGAAGTGTGTCAATATTTATAACGAAATTTTTCTTGAGCTCAATTTTTCAAGTTTTTTTTCGTGAAAGTTACTTTTAAGCTGAAAAAAAGATATGAAAATGGACTAAATAGAGTAGAAAAACGGAAAAAAGATGTGTGTCAATATTTATGACGCGTTTTTCATCGCTTTATTTCGGATAATTTTACACTTTTTCTCGTTCCTCCTAACGTACTCCAAGCGAAATTTAGGGTTTTACTATTTTTTCGTGGTAGCTTTTTTTTTGCCTTGAAAGTGCGCTCCAGCGAACTCGGATCTTCGGATTAGCCAAGAAAAAAAAAAAGAATTTGAAGCGAATTTTTTTACGGCTTCGATGCTTTAAGAGCGAGAGAGTGTAGAATTAAAGGAGATACCAGAGAAAAAAAAAGATCTGCGTCTCTTCACTCATCACACTCTCTCGCCGAAGGCTTTACTCGGTGAGGTCAGTCTGACTTCTCTGCGCCCTCTTTTCTCTCAGCATGTGCTCATGATTTTCTGGTGAGGGAGAAGAGAGCGCAGACATGCTAGACAATTTTTTAGTCTGACTGTCTTCCGTCTGACTGCTCTGCGCCCTCTTTCCTCTCAGCACGTTCTCATGATTTTTGATGAGAGAGAAGAGAGCGCAGACAGGTTAGAAGAAAATGAAGAGTTTTATGCCAAAAATGCTTGGGTTTTCTGTGTCTGTCCGCACTTTTAAGATGTCTTTTCAGAAGCACATCAAGGACATCTTCCACGAAATTGAACGAAAACGCATCCAGAAGGACTCGTTTGAAGTTTTGTGCCTCATGGAACACAACTACGACCATTCTTAACTCTCCTTGGTGCTTTTTTTGGCGGTCCGCCCTCTCGAAACAGCTTGGATAAATGCACCATTTGGGTCGTTTTTGTGTTGTGTAGTCCATTTTTTGCGACTTTGGTAGGTTTTCTCTGCGCCCTCATAGTGTCTCGATGACCCTCTCATGTTGACGTGCTATTTTCACATTTATCTGACCTCGCCGGGGAGGGAACAGAGAGACGCAGACACGCGAAACCTTCTGCGGCGGATGTGCGACTTTGAAAGGATTTCTCTGCGCCCTCTCATGCTGACGTGCTATTTGCCCATTTCTCTGACGTCACCGGTGAGGGAACAGAGAGACGCAGACACGCGAAACCTTCTGCGGCGGATGTGCGACTTTGAAAGGATTTCTCTGCGCCCTCTCATGCTGACGTGCTATTTGCCCATTTCTCTGACGTCACCGGTGAGGGGACAGAGAGACGCAGACACGCGAAACCTTCTGTGCAACTTTGAGAGGATTTCTCTGCGCCCTCTCATGCTGACGTGCTATTTTCACATTTCTCTGACCTTGCCGTTGAGGGGACAGAGAGACGCAGACACGCGAAACCTTCTGTGCAACTTTGAGAGGATTTCTCTGCGCCCTCTCATGCTGACGTGCTGTTTTCACATTTCTCTGACCTTGCCGATGAGGGAACAGAGAGACGCAGACACGCGAAACCTTCTGTGCAACTTTGAGAGGATTTCTCTGCGCCCTCTCATGCTGACGTGCTATTTTCACATTTCTCTGACCTTGCCGTTGAGGGGACAGAGAGACGCAGACACGCGAAACCTTCTGTGCAACTTTGAGAGGATTTCTCTGCGCCCTCTCATGCTGACGTGCTATTTTCACATTTCTCTGACCTTGCCGATGAGGGAACAGAGAGACGCAGACATTGCATGGAAAAATTCAATTATTTATTTACAATTGGCACGGAAAGGCAGTTTTTCGAGAAAAGGAGCAAATTTTTCAAGGATGACTTTGAGCTTCTTCGTCCATTCTGACCAGCGTTTCGATTGACTGAAATATTTTTCTTGGATGAAAATTCTATAACTCGGTAACCGCTACGCACCCGCGACGCGTTGGGCTGTTCCCAGTGAAAAAATTAGATTTTGAAAAAAATTTATTCTCATTTTTGTGCTACATGTAGAGTTTTTAGAGTGGTCGCTGAAGGGGTTAGGGGCCGAAAAATGGATCCCTATAGGGGTCAAATCAAGGTAGTCCTTTTAGAGGCTTAGGGTCTGACCCCTTACCACCTAAAGCTAAGTGGTCCCTCTAGGGGTTGTTCAATTTTGTTCAAAGAAGGTTTTTTTGAGTTTTTCGCATAGAATTCATAAATATTATTGACTAGAATGTCTCCTATAAGGGCCACTAACTGAAAGCCCTATAGGGACCACTTTTGCAGGTTTAGTGGCCCCTATATGGGTTGGTAAAGTGGTCCCTAGAGGGGGCTCTCAAAGATTGCTTCTAAAGGGTCTCAGAAAGTTTTTAGTATGAGAGAAATCGAAGAATTTCGCTTAGAATATTTGGATTTATGGTTAAGGATCCTTAGAATTATCCCAAAAAAAAAAATCGAGGAAAATTGCGATTTTTACTACATTAAGAGACAGGTTTTTGAAGGTTACGGTACCCATTTCGAAAAAGAAATTATCGAATAAATCCCTAAAATTTTCTCTTCACACTCTTTAGTGCCCGAAAAATCCTCCATTTTTTATTTATCGTCTTAAAAATCGGACGGAGAATTGGGTCGCACTTGGAATGGCTTGAGCATCGCGGTTGCGTTGCGGTGAAGTCATTCTACGCGCGTCCCTAAGGCTATTTTTCTACAAGCTTATCAATCGAAAACTATTTTTTTTCTGAATAGATAGAGCCAGCTTGAGATAAAATGACTTTTGGTAAAAAAAATTTTGAATAAAAAAAAAAAAACGAACCAGTATACATTCCTTCTTATCGATTATTTCCGACTGTAGTTCAGAGATTTTTTGCCGATGGTGATGCTAAAAATATACTTGAATTAGGATAGATATGAATGGTCGCATTTGGAATGGCTAAATGGGCAGGGTTGCACCGGACCCTAACTGGCTTGCGCGTGAAATCATCGCGACGTATTGAGCCGTTCCAAATGCGACCAACGTCAAAAAACCCACGATTTTCTCCTCAACAATTCGTAAGCTCTCCAGGAACTGGTCCTCATTGTCGGTACCCTGCAAAAAAAGAGGTTTAGTTCAAAAATGATACTTCCTAGAGAAAAGAGATATTTCCGAACATGATAGCGATTTTCCAGTGCTGATCGTTTCCTTACTGAGTCGTCGAATAGTATCTCGTATTGTTCCTGAAATTTCCTATTTCCTTTTGAAAATATTGATTTTTCACCAAATTGGCCTGTAGCTCTTTGAGCTCTTCCCGTAAGTCGACGAGCTCGTGGAGCCGCTGAAAAGGGCTTTTTTTTTCGCAAAGTTCATTTTATCTTCAAGAACTCGTGACCTTTTTGTGATATAATTCATCTAAAAAGTCGTTAGAAAAAAGGCAAAAAAAAAGCCGTGTAGGGGATCGAACCAGCGACCGTTTGATCATGAGACAAGTTTCTTAGCCACTGAGCCATGCTCTTACCTTTCTCCTCTCGGCTGTGTTGGCTCGGTCCCGTTTAACTGACATTCAATCTGTAACTAGGGGTATTTAAAAAAAAAAGACGGACGTTTTGAAAGTGCGGACAGAAAGAAGTTTGGAGCATTGAAAATATTCCTTCTTGACAAGTCAAACATTTTTTGAAGAAATGAGCAAAAAAAGCTGGATTTCTAAGAATTATGGTCGCATTTGGAATGGCTCGGTTTTCCAAAAACCCGCCGACCTTAAACTACTTTCGCACGTTAGCATCTAGATTCATGTAAATCACTGTCAAAGCCATTCCAAATGCGACCAGTAAACTTTTAGCAAAATTATAAGAGAGGAAAAATTAATACGAATCTGCTTCCAAATACGGAAAGAGGTTATAAATTAGGCACTTTCGGTGGGTATTCCGTCAGAAATTCGTCGTTTCGGGGCTGATAATTTAATGATAAGGATGTTTGGCACGCACGTGTTCTGCGTAGGTTCTTGTTGGATTGACGTAGGAAGAGCGATTTTTGAAATTTTCTGTGGAGAAGTTGAACTTTTGACTTTTGTAGGGTAGGTTGTTACAAGGGAGGTCATTTTACTTTTCGGTTGGGATTTTCCTGGAAGTTGGCCAGAACACTCCTTGGTGTAACAGAAGACGATTCTAGAAGTCTCGACCCACACAACTTCCCAGTTTTCGAGAAATAGGGGCCAAAATTGTTCATTTTAACGGATTTTGAGGTTTTTCTTTTTTTTTTTCTTTCTTTTAAAGTAAAATGACCTCCCTTGTTAGCCACTTGACCATTAGGCGTTTTGAATATTTTTTAAAGATTTGGTTGAAAAATTGGAAAAAGGAAGTTTTTTGCAGTTTTAAGAAGGTTTTTGTACTGAAAACTTTCAAAAAAGACGTTTTATTGATATAATTCAATCAAGACGAAAAAAAAGCTCATCTGGCTTCCATTTAAAAAAAAATCGCTGCATTTTTGAGGAATTTCTAGTAATCCTCAGATTCTGAACTTTATTCTTGAGGATTATGCGTTTAATTAAAAATTATACGCACTTCCGAGAAGACCTACACGAAAGACGTTCCATCCAGGAACTCTTTTTTCTGAAAAAAAACATTTTTTGTTAAGGAAAGGGCTTCGAAAAACATTTCAATTGAAAAAATAGGAACAGGATTCTGTGAAAAAATAGTTTTTAAAGTCAATTTTCAGTCGGAAAGGTTCTTTCAAAAATTAATAAAATTCAAAAATATTGGGTCGGAGGAAGCTTTATCCAAAAAAGTATTGCATTTTTGAGAAAAACCTGGTTTTTATGGTGAAGCTCCCACACTCTTTTGAATCTTTCCGAAAAGTACATTTTCAAGAATTTTTCTTTCAGCCTAGATTTTTGAAATCGCAATAGAAAGAATTCTGTACCTATCCAAAAAAAATGAGATGTACTCAGCAAATTTGTCAGGAAGAACATGCGAATCTAGATAGAGAACTAGAAAGTGAGAGGAACAGAGAAATCAAGTCGCTTGGAAGCTTTACATGACGTCATATTATGTCTAATGGTTAGTTATAAGCTTCTCGGGGAACTAAAGAATGCGAAAAAAAGGTTTTTAAGACCTTTTTATTCGAAAAAGTACCGCATTTTCTAGAAAAACCCGGCTGATTTGGGAGAAGGGTCACTTTTTTGAAGATACCTCCAGCCAAAAAAAAAAATCATTTTCACGAGATTTTACCATTCATCTACGAGCATACAGATCAAAATAGAAAAAACACAATTCCTTTCCAAAAAAAATGTATTTTTGAAGAAATGTGAGATAGAAGAGAGCTTAGTCATAAGCTGCTCGTGAAACTAGAAAAAAAAAAATGGAAGATGAAAAATCAGAGGAGTGCGCGGGGGCTTTCCTTGAAGAAGGTCGATAAGCAACAAGGCGGAACACGCGGAAAAAAGGCCATTCATTCAACTTGCCCCATCCATTTATTCTAGTCGAAACTCGATTTCTGATCTCAAGTTGAGAGTCGTTTTGGGGATTTGAGAGCCCATTGCTCAAGAAGAATGTGATTTTTCGGGATTTTTTGAGTTTTTTTTGGAGGTTGTGCGCTCGACTTTGCTTTAGAAAGGTCATAAATTCAGTGGAAACTCCAGAAAAAAGAAATGTTCTTACTAACCGCTACGCGACCGCAACGCACTTAGCCATTCCAAATGCGACCAATAGACAATGTCCGAAAAAACATCCACCTATTTTAAAGAACTGTCTATCTCATCAGAACTCAAAAAAAAAGATTTCCTCGGAGCCGCTTCGCAACCGAAACGCGCTAAGCCAGTCCAAATGCGACCAGTAGGAAATTTCAAAAAACGTTCGATTCTTTTTTGAGAATTGTTTTTTCAGAAGTAAAGCTTTATAAACGTCAAAAATCCATCAGGAATCATAGAAAAGGGAGTTCTCTTGCCAGCCGCTCCGCGACCGCAACGTGTCAGGCCATTCCAAATGCGACCAGTAGAAAATGCAGATCCATCCAGCTCTTTTTGAAGAACCTTCTTTTTGGAAATAGTGCACTTGCCATTGATTGAGAATGATAAAAAGTCCATGAGAATTCCCAGAAAAGGGAAATTTCTCAAAAGCCGCTTCGCGAGCGCAACGCGTTAAGCCATTCCAAATGCGACCATTAGGAGATGCCGAAAAACATCCAGCTCATTTTGAAGAACGATCGTCTGAAGCAGCTGTGAATGCACTATTTTCCAAACCAGTATGAAATATTTTTAGCGCCTTCTACTGGTCGCATTTGGAATGGCTCAACGCGACGCGGTCGCGATGCGGCTTCGAAAACCTGTATAATTTATTAGAGAAAATTATTTTTCATTCAAGTTTTTTGGAGCTTTTTTGGCTATAGTGTTTTCACCATCGCTCTCAGGAGCATGATAATAAAGTAGAATATTTCCGGCATTTTCTACTGATCGCATTTGGAATGGCTTAACGCGTTGCGGTCGCGATATGGCTCTGCCTAAAATCTTAGTAATTTTCACTAAATATTGTTTTTTTTTGGATTTTCAAATTCTTACCGGAAAGCTTAGTGCTAGCCAAAATAACTTGAGATTTTTTTTTCATTTTCAAATTTTTCTCACTCTGAACTTTTGAACTACTTCTAATGTTAAAAAAGTTGCCAGGAAGCTTTCAAACGCCCCAAAAAAGCTGTGAAACACAATGAAACTCGGGCGAAATGGCTCAGACGGGCGCGAATTTAATTAATTTCGGTCCCGTTTGTCGAAAAAACGCCTCGAAATCCGAATTTTTCTACTAGGAATTGGGTTCTAATGCATCCAATGGAAAGATTTCTGGAAATTTTTTTTGGAGTTAGGAGAGCCTAGGATTCAAAAAGATGCTCGAATTGCGCGCAAGTCGCTTCGTGGTCGGGCGCAACTTTTGGAATAAACGATTTGCATCTTTTTTTTGGGTTGAGCCATTCCTCGTGCGACCAGTTTGATAAATAGGAAAATTTTGGAATGTCTTAAGTTTAAAAAAAAAAGTTCAGAAAAAAATTTAGTAATACTTGAAGATCAATGCCTTCTAAATAAAGGTGTTGACGCGATCCTTAGCGAGATAGTATGTAAAATTGAGAGAGTTTGGAGAAAATTATCAGTTTTTCTTTGAGAAAATCTAGTAGTGTTTCGGTTGCTGATGATTTGTCGGTTAAAAATAAGTTTTAAAAATGAGCGATTTTCTGAGTAATATGAGCAATTTTTGGTCATAATCAGGCTAATTAAGACAGGAAAGGTCCTGGAGGCGAGACAGCATGGGAAAAGAGAGGGTTTAGAGAAACTTCTCGGTTTTTTTTTTCAAAAAGCCGGCAGGGGTAGATTCTGAACCATTTCCTCAAAAAACCCTCTTTTCTTAGCAACATGAGCAATTCTGAGGCGTTTTGATCCGAATCGACCTCTGGAAAGTTTTAAAAGAATTTTCAACCAACGCAGAATCAATGAAAAAGGCCGGGAGAGGCGTGAAAAGAGAGGAAAAAAAAGTTTAAGCAAGCAAAAAAGGATCTTTTTTCATTGCGTGATGGTGGTGGGCGTGCGGGATGAGATGAGGAATGAGGGCTTGAAAAGGGGCAAAAAAAACCAACAAGGCTCCTGAAAATGTAGGCGGAGTCTGTGGGTGAAAAAAAAAAGGAAATTCGATTCCCCAAAAGGGAAGAGAAAATTAGGGGCTTTCGGCGGCTTTGAGAAAAAAAAACTTGTTCGATTGGCTGGATTTCAACGTCTTCAAAGTGTCTTCAGAGTGTAATATGAGCAGTTCATGAGTTAATATGAGGAATACGACTTTTGATGTTTTGAAACGAAGGAAAAGCTCGTTCTTGAAGTCTAACATGAGCAATACATAAATTTTTTTGAGTTTTTTTTATTTAAAAAAATGTAGTTTTCTCTGGAAGTTAGCGGAAGATAAATGCTTTTTGGAACTCTAAAAAGTCGAAAAACGGCTGTTTGTCTAATATGAGCAATACCAATTGATCGAAATCTTGAAAAATTTTAATTTTGCAAGCTTCAGTTCAAGGTATCAAAAAAATTGGAAAAAGCTTCGTTTATTTTTTTCAAAACTGAGTAATAAATTTATCAAAAGCGAAAATCAAATAATTATGATTTTTTTATTGAAAAAAATCAAGTTTTTTTTTCCGTTTTTGCGCAGATTTTCTGTAATTTATCATCTGGAAAAATCGTGATTTTCTCTCTAATATGAGCAATATGAAACTTAGTTAGTGAATCCGACAAATTCTCCTTTAATATCAAGTTTCTAAGACCTTCGTCAAACGAAATAAATATGTCATCATAAATAGCTAACATGAGCAATACATATGAATCATTTTATCGTCCCTCAGTTTTCCAAGCAACTCTTTCTCAGTCAGAATTGGTTCAATCGAAAAAAAGAGTGAAAAATAAAATAAAAAAATTTTTGTTTTTTTCGGCTCTCCATTTGCATTGCAAACAACAAAGTTCAGAGCCAAGTGGAAACCGTTTTTTTCAAAAAAGCATCAGAAAGCGTCAAAAAAATGAGTTATTCATTGGAAAAATTAGCTAAACCC